TAATCATCCTTTTTTAGGATAGTGCGATTGTCCCCAAAGCAGACAAGGTGCTGGTGATGTGTTTGAAGTGCCACCCCATTTGTTCAGTGCTTTAGGTGCCTGCATGCCCTCTGCAAGATGCCCATCTTCCTCCATGTGTCTGGCAACAGCATGAGTCCCACCAAGAGCTGACTTTGCCCCAGTGCAATCTGGAGAGGGCAGGGACATGCCAGAGCACTGGGCAAAAGAAGATCATTAGGGAGCATGTGTGTGTCTGAGCACACTTCCCACTCCCTAGAGAGTACTCTGCATCTTGATGGGCACTGGCAGCCCTGGAAAAGGGATATCAGGTGAGTCTTCATTCCTCGGCCCAGTGCAGAGGTGAGAATATCATCCCCTCTCTGGATTACATTGGTCCTGAATGGTATGGCCAGTGATCACATCCTACTCTTAGGAAATCAGCATGCCATGTGAAGTGGACACGTCTGCTTTTCTCATACTGAGTGTGTATTGAAGCCGTCAGCACAGCTAGGACTCAGTTTTTTGGGCTTTTTTGTCAACTAAATTTGATTGTTTCACTACCAGAATTCTTTAATAAAACAATTTCTGCATTGCTCAGTACCCACATTCCTGGGTTTTATTCCACTGGCTGCAGGGACTGTGGGTTTTGGTTCAAATAATGTGCCTCTGGAAAGCGGAGAAGTTGACCCTGTTTGTTCTGCCCAGAAAGATGCCAATTAGAGCTCTACTCGAGTCAAAATGTAACAAAGGCTTGAATGTTCCTGTGCCTGTTGCTCAACAAGATTGTTTATCAATTTACAGGGAGGCCACGCTGCCTTTCCAAAGTGCTGCTGGAGGCCTGCCAGCAGCAGTAACGGAGACTGTGCTCATTGTTTAGATGCCACTGGATGTGAGAATGACAGAATGATGCCTGTTTTCCTTTCATTTTATGATGATTTAATTGCAGGAGATATATAATTCCTTGTTATGTCAGGGAAGTTGCTTCTCCAGCATCTGGTACTCCTCTGATTATCTAAAACGATATCTAAAAATTACCAGGAGATCCAGCTTCCCTGTAGGAAATACAATTGGGAACTGTTGCCTGCACCAAGCCCAAGCAGACTTCAGAGTCTGCAAGAGCTGGCTCTGTCAGTGAACGTATAATTTTCTTTTTTTTTTTTTCTTCTTTTTTTTTTTTTTTTAACATCCTAGTAAATTGCAGGCTTTGGTTATGGTTTGAAGAAATGTGTTCTGCAAATGTTGTAGCATCTGTATGCTGCTGTTTTTACTGCAGCCGTGGTACAGGTCATTAATCTGATTTCACATTGTAAAAATTTCCCCACCCTCTTCATGAGTTTCTTTGTTATCATAACACTTCCCAATACCTTGGCACTTAACTCTGCTACATTCCCTTATAATTACCTGGGGTAGAACAACTGCTTTTCTATGCTCAATATGCTTAGCTCCTATGGCAGGGCTGCCGAGCTCCACGCTTGCCGCATCTCTGTGGCAGCTCTGTAGGGCTGGTCCCAGTGGCTGGGGGAACATTTGGCCAACAGACCTTCTCCTCTCATCCCCATCAACTGCTCACCAGCATGAGCTCATGGCACCAGCCTGAAGAGGGGAAATGGCAGCTGAGGACGCTCCTGCATCTAATATTTGGTTTTCACCCCTCTAATCACTGTCAGACACCTCTGAACAAGGGCTGTTGCCATCCAGTGCTGAGCAAGGTTGAGCGAACCCCTCATAAGTGAGATGAGGGAAGCTGGCAGCTTTGCCTGAGCTGTGGGGCAGGTCTATAACAGGCAGTAAAGGGGATGGTCCAGCTGTTGCAAAGCTCATGTGAAGTGAGCACTGCTAGAAAAACAATGAGGTTTGGAAAGAATCGCTTTTGGGAACTTACTTGAGCATGGGTCCCAGAAGGTGTTCAGGAAGGAAATGCTCATAGGAGCATGTCAATGGCATGGTCCGTGGCTGATGCATTCAAAGTGTGTAGCCTGAAGTAATGATCACCACCAAAAACTAGGTGAATGTCACCAGCTTTTCATGACTGGCAAGAGGGCAGAGCTCAACTTTTGCTGACCACTGGACAAACACTCTCCCAAGGGGTCATAGTAGGCAGGAGGAGGAGGATCTGAGGGAAAGACCGGACACTTTAAGCCAGGTGGCATTTTCCAAGGAGGGGATGTGGTTATTGTCTGTTCTGACTCCTGTGATAATACACTTCCCTCCAGGGCAGCAGCCTCTATGGGCCCGCAGCACAGGGATCTCAATGAGGGTGGCAGTCGGCCAGGCACCATCATCAGCCTCATAAAGGAGGCTTTGCTCTGCAGATTGGCCCTCAGACAGGGCTGGCCTGTGCCAACCCAGTTCATTGCAGTTTACTTTCCTAGGCCTATTGTCTAAGCCTCGGCTGAACTGCACCTTTTTCCAGGAATCCCAGTAACCCCATGTTTTTCAAGCAGTAAGCAGTGGTAAGGCTGAGGCACACCAATCCAGCAGCACTGTCCCTTGCCCCTGCTGTGGCATTTAGCAGTGTAACACCTACAGCTTTAGAAGTCTCACTTTCCCATAACTTGAAAGAGAAATGCATGGCACTCAGTATTTGCAAAAATGCTGATGCCAGGTTGCCTAAAATCTGTCTAACCTCACTGGGATCTGTGTTAAGGAGTCATTATGTCAGTCAGAGGTTGCTAACACAACCAACTACAAATGGTGCTGCTGTCCTGCATGGGGACATTTGAGAACTACAGGGTGAAAGAAGTAAAGCCCATGTTCAGTTTATCGTGGGTTTGTGGTTAGAAAGGCTAGGAAATGTACTTATCACTTGTTCCTGCTTCTACCATCTCCACTTTCTTCTTAAAGTGGTGTGAGTGCTTGCTTCCAGCTCTTAGCATAGCGGAGAATGAGACATTTTAACAGTGGCCTGTATTTGGGCTTCAGCCTGAAGGCTAACTGCAGTTTCACATGAACTGAAGTCTAAGACTCCACTTGAACCATATGGAGGGATCTCTTCCTCCAGACAGAGCTTTATCCCTTGCCTTAGGAAATAGCAATTTTCCTTTTTTTCTCCCCACCCCTAAGTAAGGACTGGTCAGATGAACTCAGAAATCTGGCTGGTTTTAGGGATACAGGATCATACCAAAACAAAGGTAGAAGTGTGTGGCTGGAAAGGAGGTTGGCTGTGAGATATGGCTATGTAGATATAAGCTTGGCTGTGTAGAGAAGTGGGTGCACATGGTACATCAAACAGGAAAGGCTGTTAGACCAGGTCAGTGCAGAAGCTTGTATCTGTGTGCTCCCCAGCATTATGGCTTTGAGACATTTCCCTGGCCTTAGGGTTACCAAGGATCCTCTGGTACATAAATCCTCCCATCGCTTCTCCTGCAGAGGGGCCCAGGGAGCTGTGCCAGAGGTGTTGGCTGCTGTCATCCTGTTCAGCCAACTAAGCTCTTCAGTTGTATGGCCAGGACTCTAGCCAAGGGGTCTTCTTCTATGTCACCTCAACCTGAACACTAGCAAAACTAGCAGTCAAAGGCAAAAAGTATGCATTTTCCAGATCCCCTAAGGCTTTCATACAGGCACTTTGGCAGGTCTAGCTGGGAATGCTTAAGATTATCCTTCTCATCCATCTGCTAACAGCTTCTGCTTCTGTAGCTGAGAAAGTGTGGCAGAGGTTTAGCTGCTCCAGGTACCAGTTTGGCATCTGAATTCAAACCCAACTCTAACAGGGGCCCTTAAAGCTAAACAAGCTAAACTGTCTGTCTTGACCCTGAAACAGACTGGCAAGCATTTGGACAGTCTTAAAGGAGCAGGCAGAAACAAGTGCTGGGTTTGAGAAACGCTGTCATCTTCAGCATCCCGTGTGTGGTGACCAAGCACGCCAGCTTCAGGTCCCTCTAAAACTGTTTCAGAAACTCTACATTAATGCTTCATAGCCACCTATGGATGATTTACACTATATACTGCACCAGGTCTATTATTTGCCTCTGCAAGAGCTGCGTGCTCTCAATACTTGCACAACAGCAGGGAGCTCATGCTGTTTAAGGCATTATAATATACAGTCATCCCTTTGAAAGAATGAGTATGGCCCCAACATTAGTTTAGATCAGTTTTAATGCTTAAAACTATAGAGGTAACAGAGAGATCTCAGACCTGAATATTTTTTTTTTATTATTTTATTTTTTTATTTACACACAGAAACTGAAAAACTGCGTTGTTTATTTGGATATGAGCAGCACAAAGTATGGTGATGTTAGCAGGAGCAAAATATTACCAATGACTCACTTCAACAATCTATTAGAGATGAGCTCGCATCAAGCATACATCATTCAAACAGTACTGTTTATATTGAATCTGGGTGAGCCTTAATATACCTTGGGACACTAAAAACAGATTTCTATAAACAAGTCAAAGTTCAAGTCTTGTGGAAAAATACCTTTACAGTTTATATTTTGTTGGCTATAACACTGAAAACAAAACGTACACTTGTATTCATTTGAAAAGCTCTGTAGAAGTGACCATATAGGGGCTTTTTTTCCTCAAATTTGTGCTCACAGTAAAAGCAAACAGTATTTCAAGTTTCATTTTCATCAAAGACCATAATATAAACATGGAAAAAACATAGAATTATTTTAAGATGCATTTCTCAACCTCCATATTTCAGCAATCCTGAAAAAAACATGTTTCTGTGCTTTACCATCGAGAAAGTCTATGCAAGGCTCTTGACAGAGGCACTCTCAGGACATACACAACCATCCCCTCCCATCATACTCATCCCTGGACATGCAGCTATCCCACAGCTAACCCTCTGCCTGTTCATAGGGTAGGATGCTCCAGCAGTCTCTGGCTGGGGATGCTCTTGTCATCCTCAGGTGCTGGTGTTGTGGTTGTATGATAGCCACGTGCCTGGGTCTACAGCAGAGGAGCAGCCCCAGGACTCTGCAGGAAGGGAGTGTACTAGAAATGGCACAAACTTCCCCAGCCGCTGTCCACCCCTGGCTTGTAGTACTTTTTCCTGGACTACAGGCATTTCTGGTGGCTGAAAATGGAAATGCAGAAGTCCTGACCTGACTTCTGTTTGTACGAGTCGGTTAAATACATGCTTGGATGCAACATGGCATAATGCTGGGTCAAACTGCTGGCTGCAGTTTGGTCTGGCTTCTTCATAAAGCCTTTTCAGTACTTTACTACCAATTAACCTCAGCTGAGGAGGTAAAAGGTACCTGGGTACCAAAGGGGCCCTTTACAAGGGAGATATTTTACCCAGCAGGAAGACTGGCTAACTTGCTGTTGAGAAAACAGGGAGTTGTGCCCTGGAATTAATCCTAACAATTTCATTGGAGCTTTTATTCCTCTTTTCTTGTTACATTAGCGATGTAATTGTAACTTCAAGTTTAGGCTTTAACATGTGATCTCTTGGGAAAAAGGAAAGGATACACATTTTGCTAATTCAGAAGCTAAAGTATTTGTATTTCTATTAAAATTATTTGTAATATGCAGAGCCTATCTCAACACTTGTATATCATAGGGGATAAACAACTGCAAAAATATACAGCATCCTATTTATTTACAATATATATATGTACATAAAAATGAAATTTCCTACAATACAACACAACTGCATAGATTTGTCTTCAGTAACACAGGCATGTGTACAATTTGTGAATTCTAGACCTTTCCAGCCCTGTACTTTTTATTAATTCATTTTCTTTTTTTTTTTTTTTCACAGTTTGTTACAGAAATCCTTACATTAGATACAAATAAAACATTCTTTATGTAAGTTATAGGAAATAAGGATCTTCCTGATGCCAAGGGCTCTGGGGAATTGGTTAAGAAAGCACCTTGGTGCCAGGCAATAAAGCATCTTGTGGAGCTGCTGATAGAGCTGAGTACATTCTGCTGTGCCTCTCATCCAGGCACTGGCGTGGGACGGTAGGACTGGAGGTGGGACACCACCACATGGGAAGAGTTTTGTTTTGACCAAGATGCTCTTTAGCCTTAATGTAAGGTTCAAGCAAAGAAATTTATTCATTTAAAGATAAGCTACAAATACCATTAATTGTTACTGTTAATACTTGATATCAGAGAGAGCTGTGGTGCTTATGCACTGTAAGGCAGATGTACAGACTCAACCTATGTATCATCCGACCTGCATTTGCACATGACCTGTTGCAAACGGAGCAGAAGCTGTGGGTTGGTATGTGGCTCAGGAAAGCAGCCCTCAGGAGTGGATGGGCATCCCAATCCCTGACCTTGCAGGGTGAGACCGGCCTCTCTGCCCTGTGGTGGGCACCGCTTAGGCCATCTCAGCCCTAACAGGTCTGTGCCAGCACATGGATTTGGCACTGGCCCCTCTGACCAAGAGCAAGCACCACCCAGAGAGGTCACTGCTCCTGAGATGTTCCCAAATAACCATTTACTGTGTTTTACTTGCTAGGTGTGTTTGTCATTGGACAGAGAAGGGCAGCTGTATTCTGCAACCGTCAAGGTGCTTTAAGCTCATGACTATTTTCTTTGCAATGTGCTGTGGACTAGGAGAGGCAGCAAGGCTGTCTTTTAAGTGTAGGATTAACACCTGTGGTCTTATTAGGAGCCCCTGCTTCTAATTAGTGCTCCCTCAGTAGTTCCTTACCACTGAATTGCTGCCATTACGCAAACGAGAATTAAAAACTATTTTGCTGTAGTTATTAGGAGCAATTTTCCATCCAGTCTATGACATTTGCAGTGCTCACAATAGTGATAAACTCCCTATGAAAAGAAAGCATGCTACCACCTACTAAGTAGATACGGTACTCTGGATCCTATTAATTTAACAACAGAGAAACTCCTACAGCATTTCACTGTGCTCTTAAAATCCTAGCTAAAATGTGGGACTCGTACATCGTTGGCTACAAGTTCACTATTCCAAATGAACTGAATAACAGCAGTACATTTTACAGATAACCTCATACAAATATTGTCATCCATCACTGATGTTGACAGTTACAGCAGGGTCTATTGCATTCTGTTAAGAATGTATAAACCTGATGAGAAAACAAAAAGCACGTTATTTCACGTTCATTACCACAGACATCAATAAACACATGATTCTTTTCCATAAATATCTATAAATATGATGCCAGTAAATCAGTCTCAGCAAAATTCCCACTTTTTTCTTTTTGTTTGTTTTTTTTCAGAGACCCAGAAACAAAGTCTGTTTAAAGACTCAGTGTTTTGGGTGTCTATTTTTCAGTATCTAAGATATACTTTGATAGTCCAGTAACTTGGGTAATTTCACTCTATGCACACACCCAGCTCATTCGTCTCCCTATTTATCCAGTAAAACTCCCATATACAAATAAACAGGGAAAAAGGAGAAGGCAGAATAGCAGAGAGAGGGATAGTGATGGAGAAAATTTGGGAAGATGCAAGGATCAATCGGTCACCAAACAGCCCTTCCATTCCAAGGAAGCTGGATGCCAAAACTCAATGGTTGGTATTTTAAACAGGGTCTGTGGACCACCTGGGGGATTGTGGGAGGGAGATGTTGCAGTTGTGACCTTGCTGGGACCCTGTGCAGCAGATCAGACCTCTAGCTCACACCCAGCTACTTGAAAGTTCCTCCCAGGATCTTTTCTCTCACAAGCCCCTGATGCACAGAGCTGTTCTGCTCATAGGTCAGCAGTAGAAGGATGAAGAGGGGAGGAAAGCAGGAAAGCCTGGAGCATCTTGAGGAGAACACTGTAAAGCCTTCTCAGGTCTGAGTTAGGTTTTTCAGGGTAAGATCCAGAGAGATTATAAGGCACCTCAAGACCTGAAATGCGACCCCAGCAAGCTGAGTCAGAGAACAGAGTGAGATGATGGGCTCCTGCTGCAGTGACCAGAGAGTGTTGGATGCCTGCAGGAGGGGAGCCACAAACTTACATCCTGAGCTAGGAAGATGTCTGGAATGAGCTGCAAGGAGATGGGAACCAAGCACAGGTTCTTCTCTCCAGAGCTTGAATACCTGGCCTCATAGGCTGTGGCATGGATCTCTCTGTGAATAAGGGCAGTCTCATTAAGAGTCAGCACATTGAGAACTGATGACATGCACCATCACAGGCAATTGGAAACCAGCTGCAGGAAAGCTCAGGACCTTAGCTCAGGGGTCCCAGGTAGCCCAGTGGTTTGTGTGTTAAATGCTGGGCTGTGGGATACCTGGGAGGAGGGATGCTGCACTGACTGGAGACCTTGCTGGGAGCCTGCCAGTGAAGGTCTGAGCGCCAGGAGGGAGAACCTGCACTCTGCAGTCTACCAGGTCACTTTGCTCCAAGGAAGGAGGATTCCAGTTTTGTTCTTGCTGCTGGGGTACTCCAGAGGACTTGGCCAGCCTGTGGAGTCCACTCTACTTTATTTCTGGATCACACTGGCAGAGCTGGGCACCTCGCTGCCTAAGCTGAGGTACAGATCTACAAGTTGGGTTTATTAGGCTTAGTTTCTGCAGCATGAACACCCTGCATCTCAATGCCAAATTCCAAAGAAGGCCCCAAACTAACCTCTCTGGATGTTACCCTTAGAAGCCAACTTTCAAGGTCCTGAGAAGTGCTCTGTGGTCTCTCAGTGGCTTCAGGCCATGCAGAACAAGGCATGGCAACTGAGGCAATTCAACAGCTCACAGAAATCCCAAGATCCCAGATTCTTCATCCCTAACCTTAAAAAGAGCAAGCTGCAATGACAGGATCCCCACACCTGATGACAGTCTCCTTCCACAGTGAACAACGGGAGTCAGCAATGAACCAGCTACTGGGAACAAGAGGGTCACTGCATACTGGCAGGTATGGCTCGAGCATTCCAAGGGCATCACTCTGCCTTCAGGCATGAAGCAGGGCTCCCTTTAGCCATCAGTTCTTTCAGTGGGAGCTGGGTTCGTATTTTGAGACGCTTTTTAGCTCACGTGGTGAATGACACAAAATGAACACGTTTATGCTGCTGGCAGTGCACTAACAGAAGATGTCTGCTCAGGATGGGTAACAATCACCTGCTTAGCATTTGAGTCTCTACAAGTAGTTCTCTACACCAGCTATAAGGCATTAGGCAAACGCTTATTTTGTGGACAACAGATGCAAGTTACAGTGCTCCTGCTAGTAGTAATTGAATGTCTTGTCTTTAACTGTTATGGAGAACCAATGAGAAACGTAAATGAAACAGTTTAAGTATAAAAAGTGTTTGTTTTTAAAGAAATGTTACAGATTTCAATTTCCATTAGAAATCCATCAGTTTGGCAGGGTGAGTCAAAACCTGCTCCCACTGCTGTCAAACCCCCCTGCGACTTCAGTGGGAGGAGGGTAAGACACAATGGAGGAGCCTATCTCAGTAAGGTATGTACACATGAATCCCAGAATGGAAAAGACATGAGGTATGATTAAATGCGTAGGTTTTGATAAAACTGGAGCTTGTCTCTTCTTTTCTGAGGGATGTGGGGCATCAGTAAACAGCTTATTGCTGAAGAAAGCACAGACTTCCTATGGAAATATCCGAGCATCTGCTTCTCATAAGGCTCAAATACTCCTGGTTTGGGGTAAAGTCTAGTTCTGGTCAGGCTTCAACTGAAGTGTGCCAAGGGCACATCTTGCTGGCCATCTTTCTTCTGCTCCCTGCACCACATTACAAGACACATACACATGTACAGGTCTGTTCCCCAAAACCACAAAAGGGCCAAGCCCTGGGGCTGGTTTCCCCATCAGAACATCAGAGAGAAGCACCAAATTTAGGACCTATGCTTATAAAACGCTCATTTATGCTCTCATAATGCTTTTTGTGCACATATCCAGAATGCTACACTTTATCCAGTGAGGCAAATGGTGCATGAAACAGCAACAGAACAAACCAACAAACTGAAAAACTGGATGGGTACAGTTGGAGAGCAGAGCTCTGGCTAAAAGACAGGAGGGAAAGGGTGTGAACGGACATCACTCCAGTTGGGATTGATAACAACAGGCACTGCTGCTCTAAAAAGAGCAGAGCTTATGGCTGAAGGGCTAAGGATAATCAAGGAACAATGCAGTTCATGGGTGGAACAGGGGAAACAAATTAATTGTGATGAATTCCTATAAGCAATGCTCTGGTACAGTCTTACAGACAATTAACACAGACTCAGTGCTGATCTGATAATGCAGTACTAGGGGACAGAGTGATAGGAAAACGGGTCTGTTTTCTAACAGTATTTTCAGTACTGGATAATCATTATTTGGATTTGATTTGAGTGAACTCACAAAAGATGGGATAGATAACAGAACGGGTGGTTGCGATTTTGGTGTGTAGCAAACAGGGGGGTCTTCAGCAGGTGAACTTCAGTGGCCTTCATTGCCTCGTGATTGTACCCAGTCATAGATGACCAAAGGAATGCTCACTAGGGAAAACAATATCCCCAGTGCCAAGAAAAGAGAAGCCTGCAACAAAAAGGAGAGAAAATTAATGAATTACAAGAAAAGACAATTAATTCAACCATACTAGCTTAAGGAGATTTACAAGGTGTGGTATCAAAGCTATCAGCTAAAATGGGATAGCACTTCTGGTAGAGACAAGACCCATAGATAATTAAAGAGATCAGCCTCATTAATAATTACTCACTGGACACTAAACCCAATTTTTTTCTCCCTTCAATTCACTTCTTTAACACTGATCATCCCTGAAGAGAATTAAGTGAGATTGTTCTCCTCTTTGCAAGGCCTCACAGAAATACGTATACTCTTCCCATTGGAAGAGTCCAATACGTGTCCAGTATGTGTCCACTGAAGTTCAGCCCTTTTGTCTTGGAGTCTGTGGATGGATCCACAAGTGAGACATGACTGTCTGCTCAGAGCAGGTGCTTCCAGTGCACACTGTTAGACTGGGAATACACACGAGTGTTGCATCTTTTCAGCTACAGCTCCTTCCGGGACTCATAAGAAATCTTTCCAAGGCCATTCCCATTTGCTCATGCATGCCAGAGGGCTAGCATTTCAGCTGGCTGCTTCTTGCTGGAAGCACCGCAGGTCTGACTGAGGTCCATTAAAACCATGTGGAATACCACAGAGCGCTTTGCACGCTTTCTGGATCAGCACACACAAAAGGAGGAAGCTTGCTGGGCTGAAAGGTCTGCTGAAGCGGGCTGGAAGGGTATCTGCACCCTGCTGACAGCTACAGCTGCTGCTTGCCAGCTAGGGAGACAGCCCCTTGCCCCCAGGGAAGGGTACCCCAGAACACAAGGTGCATGGTGTGGTATAGCCCCTTCACAAGGAGACCTGCAGGGTGAGCAAAGGGGAAGGGCAGGAGGCACACGTGCCAACTGACTGAAGGAAGGAGGGAAAGTAACATCAACCAGCTCATACGTGTGTTCAGATTAGGTACGCTTTGCATCTAGCATGTTACAAGCAATGACAAGATGAAGGAGTTGCGCTGATGGGAAAGGAATGCATACCCAAATCCTCTGAGTCAGCTTTGATCCATCCTGCTGTTTAATTTTTAAATACAACGATGAAGGAAGAATGAAAATCAGCATGTTGGCCGAAGTGACCCCTGCAAAATTCAAATACATGAGTCCTGTTAGCTGTCAGCCACAGCTAATTATTGTGTTGCTGATCAGCAACAGACTTTCAGTAGTAGTACAAAACCAGGATACTGTACCTACAACTCCGAAAATATCCTTCATCGTTGGGATAAAAATGACTAGCAGGTTGATGATAACCAAAAGAACCACAGTAACCAGAACATGGTGGCATAAGTCAAATTTTGTTTTTCTAGCCAGCTCAAATAATGATGAACGCACCTGTAGGAAGAGAGAGAGAGAAAACAGTTCTCTGTCAGGAATATTCTATAAGCCAATTCAAAGCTTGCCATGTTTAGTTTAACAGGTTCCTCATGTGCCAACAAGGGCTGCATAGACCTGTCAGAAATTCTGGGGTCTCTGATGTAACATCCTTTGAAAAGATCCTTAAGATCAATCTGGTATTTCAAACTATAGGTATACATGCATCTGCAGCAGGGTATTCCTCTCTTTCCAACATGCCTTTGGATCCTTCTGCTCTTAAAAATGAACTTCACCTCTGAGCCTTCTCCAGTGAAGTCATGTGGAGTAAAAGCAGGCACTTGTGGATTCAATTTAAAACAGATTTAAGACCAAAAAGCGATTAATTTGTTTCCTGCAGGGAGAACTTCTCCAGAAGCTGGTGGGAGTCTGGTGTGGGAAAAGACTGATCCAGGCTCAAGCTCCTTCTGCAGCTGTCACATCACTGTCTCAGCAACTGCTGATGTGTGGTTTGAAGTAACGCACCGCACACAGCTGTTACTGACTGCCAAACCGTGCGGAGCTTCTGTACTCACAGTGAAAAACAGCACCGGCACCGTGAGTATCACCGCAACGATCACAGCCAAGCGCACGGTCAGGATGAGGATGTCGTCTTTGCTCTGGTACTTGTGAAGCAGATCTGACTGCACAGTGTCTATGGGAAAGACAGTAAGGTAAGTGTGTGATAGCAAACGGGCAATCTGCTCACAAAAATCATTGCTTAACAACAGCCTTCTTGAAAAACAAGTGATTTATCTGCGAACAAAAAGAGTATGGAATGAAACATTCTTGAGTTAAAACAGCGCTTTGAACCAAATCCCAATGATCCCATTATTCCAGATTAATCCTTTGGAGGCCTGATTTAGGAATGCATCTTAATTCAAGACAGCACATGCCTAAGTCTAAGGTAATTTTCACTGTAGGAAAGACAACAGTGAGACATACACAAAAGCTTGCTTACATATATACATATATGAAGAAATAAGTGAAATAGGCTATTTCTAATTAGTTCTATGGGCTTTTTTCAAGTTTCAAATGATATAAAAAATAACCACATGCATTGCAACTGCTGAACTTAATATAAACCACAAGGTTTTGAGCTAAATTAATCTAAACAGCAAATAAACCTCCAGTGAAAAGCAGTGCCCCTGTTCTCAGCCAAGAACAAAGCCTATCTGGGGTCAGCTCTCAGTGGGATGCTCTGACATCTGCACTCAAATCCCTCAGCAGCTCCTCTGAGGGCTGCCCTGATGTCTCCTTCTCTTGAACCTGCCACCCCCCAGCAGTGCCTGCAGCTCGGCCCCAGCAACCAAGACAAATCACAGGGGGTGCCTAATGTGCAGGCACTGGCAGTGTTTTAACACAGCCTCCTGCAAAAATGGTTCCTTGCAGCTGCGGTAAATAGCACAGAATGGTTCTGTGTGTGCTAACCAACAGGAAAACCAAGTTGCTGAGGGACCTATGTGTTTGCTTTGCAACTTTCAGATATCTAGGAGCAATAACCTAAGGGGGCGGCTGTTAAGCACACCACAAAACATACTCGCTGCCCCGTTTTAGGCTCATGTTTTGTTTCTGACTGCTAATCTTAGAAAGCTGATGGTAAAACGCAACAGCTCTCAAAGCAAAGTCCTTAAAGTGAACTCGGCAGCCACGTCTGATTTAACATCTTTGGCACTTGGCAAACCTCATGTATTCCTGGAGGCAGAGGGATCTGTCCTGCGGTGAAATGCCTGCACTCCCCCCAGGACACCCTTCTGGTGGGAGGTCAACACCACCTACACAGGTCAACACCACCTACACAGTGCTTGAATCCCCACCAGGAGAAAGAAAACACTCTCCCACCTCCCTGCAGATTAGGAGTGGGGTTTTCAAGCCGGGCACATGCACAGCTTCTGCAACACAGAGCTTACTCTGCTCCTGTAAGCACAGACTGCAACTTCTGTACCGCTCACGGACTGCAGCCAGGTAGGAAGTGAAGGGCAAGGCTTACAGTTGAAGGTCTGTTTTCCTTTCAGCTAGATACACCACAGAGCCCAACCACACTGTGACCTTTTAGGGGAAGAAAAACACCTCTTTTCTGTAATTCTGCAATGTAAATATAGTCATCACTGCAACACTTTGGAGAACACAGCAAACAGACAAGTACTATTGGTGTAAAGAATAAATGGCCACAATAAAAAATGTTCTTACCCAGGTAAGGGTAGAGAAGAGGGTTAGAAAACTGTAAGTGAACATATGAAAGGTAAGGTCTCGTCAGTCTAAAGGGGAAGAAGGATCAAAGCAGAGGAATTCTGTATTCCCTCAGTGTGCTCTTTGCTGCCTGCCATGGCACTGACCATTGCAGAAGCCGCAGCAGAGCCGCACAGCTTCCACCCGCAGGCTCTCGGTGCTGGGAAGCGGGGACGCCTGACATGGGGAGAGGCACACGAGACACCCAGGGATTCCTCCGCCATTCCCCCTCGGGAGGGCCAGAAGGACGCAGCCCCTACCTCCTCCATGGACTCCAGACCCTCGTCCTTGAGGGGTGTGGGAGATTCCCAGAGAGGAGCGCCACGGATCTGCCTCCTCAGATCCCTGGGGCAATCACATCAGAATCTCCTCCCTGCCAAAGCGAAGGGGTCCGTGCTGATTTACACCCACTTGCTCCCCGGGGCTGCTAATTTGATGCGGTTCTACAAGAACGTGTTAGATGGGAGCAGTTGGATGAGAACGGCTGTTGTGGTTGTCACTTGCAGAGGGTTTGCGGTTGTATTGGGGAAGTTAGAACAGGGGACCTCGAGTTACTTCCAATGCATGCAGACTCAAGGCCACATCATCAGAATGAGAGAAAACAAAGATAAGGTAGATACAACTTTGGGGAGAAAAAAACGCCACATTCCATATTTGCTTATTTTCTTTCTCCTGCAATACGTGGCTCACAAGGAAGGGTATCATGAATGAGGAGATCGTAACAAAAAGGTTACTTGGAATAGGGTGGAGAAGACTGATGACCTATTGGTGACTCTGAGGTAAAAGGCAAACATCAGCTTTGTCATCATCTGTCTTGTAAAACCCTAATGGCTCATGGAAAAAAGACATTCCTTTTCAACATCCCTGTTATACTGGGACATGGGAGTAGCTTCCTGGGCAACACGCACATTTTATCCTGCTTTACTTAATACTTTTGCCTTTAGGGCATATATGTTGTATCCTTTACTGATACAACATAATTTGTTTATGACTTGATATTCATGAAAAGAGACAGGGTGCAGATCTCAGACACTGAAATAACCATCCTACGGCAGCTGAGCTGGGACAACTCTCAAAGCTTCCTCATCTTCACTGCCAGTTTATTTAATCAAGGCTCGGAGGGGTCAGCTCTAGGGACGCAGGGAAAACATTGGTCCTTCACCTCTATGATAAAAGCATCAATAAGGACATAAAAAAGCTGTGATGGCTGATTTGATGCTCATTTCCTAGGACCTGCTCTCAGATCTGTCTCATTTTACGCAGATATGCCACGCTTCAATCACTTCCAGTGTACACAACATTCAGGTGAGGACCTCAGAATGAAAATCTTAGTGGGGCCCAGCTAATCCCCAATGCTGTCAAATCAATCTCTCCCTCGTGTTCTGAATATGCCTTTTGCAAATAATACTTTCACTTGTGCTTTTCATCTATAGGGAAAAAGGAGGAAAAGATTTGTACCTCCAATATGAAAACCTGAAGAAAAACTATTTGAGTGAGTATTTTAATGCAAGTAGATGGGACTTTTCTTTCCAGCTGGGATACGCTATTGATTTCACATGTATTCCCTTTCTACTTTGATCAGTAAAGAACTGCATACTTACCATAGAAAGTCAAATAGCCAAATATGGCAGTCATAAAGTACATCACAAACATGGCAAAAAATGAGATATTTGAAACCAACTGCATTTTTTTCTGCGAACGGCTGGAGAAAGAAGAAAAGAAAGAGAACACATAAAAATGGCTGGGCTGGATTTTTTGATAGCTGTTTAAAAATTTATTAAGCCTCTGCATAGACCTAGTAATTCTGGAGAGACTTATGAATGCATTTTCATTTAAAACAGGAATTCACTGACACAAGAAAGAGAAGGACTGGGGAAATGGACCCTCCCTGGGGCTTAAGTCAAGAGATGGCGAGTCCACCCTGTGGCTCTGCTCCCAGGCCATACCCACTTAAACAGTGAAGAGTGAAGCTGATTAGAGAGGGATGGCCCTTAACACTTCAGTAATTAAATAAACAGGTCAAAATCAAGTAGAAGTAAAATTATACACAGGGGACTGAAACATACTCGGAATGTTTGCAGAGCAACATCTGTGTCCCTGTGGGTAGCAAATTATGAATGTATACAGACCACTGTACATCCCAAAAATAGGTTAAATGCACCCATTTCATTTTTAGGTATTTGTTCTGAAATATTCACATCCAGTACCTAAACTTGACTTAAATTCACACAGAGATGCCCTAAATAGGCACCTGGGAACCTGCTGAAGACACCCGATACCCCAAGCACCCAGCAAGTGGCTGGGACCTGAGGCTATCCATGGGTCTGACTGACCCAACCTCTCCCCTGGTGCCACCAGCAGCGTCACAGCAGGGCCAACCTCCAGGTCCCCATAGCCCTGCCTAGTGCAGGTGTCAGTGAGACAGCCGTACTGGCAAAGGTCTTTTAGTACAGGGGAGGCTGAAAGCAGTTTGTTTTTCCTGCTACCACAACACATTTTTAGTTGCACTGGAACAAACACCATCATCTGAACACACACCTCTCTCCAGTGCCAAATAACAACCGGCACGACTTGGCTATCCCATGTACTTCCAGAGAAAACTCCCAAAGTATTGCATTATCCCCAGGCTCCCTCCCTGCCGCCCCAGCAGCACGCCTGGGGGCCAGATTTCCTATCTGACAGCCACGCTTGTTGGCTTGTCGGGTGTTATTAAAGCTCGTCTCCCGTGAATGGCAGGAGTGACTCAGAGCACCTCTGCGCTGAAGTTTTCCATGTAAAGCAGTTCAAAACAATTAAGTGGGGGAAATGAAAGAAGAGGAAGGCTTACTCTTTAAGCTCGCTGTAAATCGGGAGGACTGACGGGTGGCACACAAACGCAAAAGCAATGGTGGGCAAAGCGTACACGGTCTGTTCAGAGAGAATTTCAGAGAACAAGTTAAGAAGCATTTCCCCCAGTGGCGTGAAGACACAATCCGTGTTCAACTACCTCAGCTCCCGCCTCTCTGGACTCTTCAACCCAACGCTGAGAGCCTTCAGAGGAGGCAGAAGACCTGTCAATTGGCGCGTGTTTAATGAAGCATGGAAAGCAGCGTGCTCTCAACGGGAGGACAAAGCCTTCTCCTTGGTCGCGCCAGCACAGTGCTGAGTCTGCTTGCAGAGCGCAGCGCTGGATGCCACGCAGCCGCTGGCTTTGCTCCCTGGGATGGGTTTCCCTGCCCAGCTACTGCCAGCGCTACTAGAACAGTGTCACGCGTCCAAGGGACGTATGGCGGGTCACCGCCACGCTACCCTGCCTTGGCATGGAGAGGGGCGCGCACCCGTGGTGCTAAGGCTGAAGTCCTGAAGAGGAAGCCCATATCCAGACTGCAAAAAAAGAGAACAGGAATGCAGAACTTACAAATAAATGGATATTTCAAGGTACCAGACTGAGTCCCTTCATTTCCCAGGCCAACAAAAGGGCTAGGAGGGCTGTGGAGGGAGCATGCTTTTCCTTGGGGAAAGAGAGAGACCGTTACGTCACCAGGAAGTGCAGGAGGCCTCTGGGGGGGGACCTCACCCCCTTCTCCACCAAAAACCTGAGTGGGTTTCAGTCCTCAGCACACAGCCAAGTTTCACAAATGATCTCAGTGCCCAAGCACTTCCATTCTCCCCTGGGAATGGGTACGAACACAGATCGCATGAAAAACAGGTCCTCCTGCAAGGACAAAATGAGTCCATCCCTACATGCAGCTCCACCCAGCCCTCTCAGATCTACTCGTGCTGGTCACAGGCATCCCCTTCCCACAGAAGTCATCCTGGGGTATGCCTCAGGCCTGACACATCCAGTAAATACGCTGGTCGCTTTCCAGCCATCCTGCCTCATCCAGGCCTGTGCTGTCTCCTCTCCTTCACTCATTGCATGCTCCGTGAGGATGCTCTGCAGTTGCCTGGATGTGGTACTGGCCCAAGGCAGTACTGCTTGAGCAGGGAGTCTGGACCAGATGATGGCCCTCCAGAGGTCCCTGCTAACATCAGCCACCCTCTGATTCTGTGAAACTGTCTCCTTTCACACACCAAAGTCGCTCAAATGATTGGCAGATTGTTGGCCCCAGGGGCAAATCTCTAGAGTTCAGCTCACGCACGCCCAGTTCAGGTGAACTGGTACTTCCCATGTGCCTCCACTGACTCCAAATCAAATGCTGACACTGTAGGAGAAGACTATGTATACATATATAGTATAGACTGTATATACATATGTAGGCAATGTAGGTATATACCTACACCTAAGCTGCTATTGCACTCCAGGTTAACTAATTCCTAGTCCATCACACTGCATCTGGGCTCATTGCTACCCCTAACTAAAGAAAAGTGCTTGGGTTGGCTTCTTCAACTGAAGCTGGCAGGCTTAATTTAGGAAACATTAAACTTTGCATGCATATGCTATATGTGTTCATTCCCTATGGATGTGCCTACAGCACCTTGGGGACCTGCCCTGCTGGATAAGGTGCTGTTTAATGAGCACTGCACCCTGGCACAGCTGGCAGGAGCAATCCTCCTGCTCCCACAGCTACAGCCAGTTGCTGTTTCACATTCTCTTGGCACAGCGTTTCCTGCAGCTGTGTGGCGATGGAGGAAAGCATCCAGCTGAAAGGCAATCGAATTTCTGCTGGATTAGCTTTCAGCTATATCCTTTTTGCAACCCAGTTCACTGGATGTCTACAGAAACATGTACCCTGTCACAAAGGAGCGGTTTGTCTGCAGAAGGACAGAGGGATTACTTCTGGGCTTTGGACGCAGGAATGGCTTACTCAGCCTCTGCTCTACTACAGCCTAAAGGCGCAATTCCAGCAGGGAGAGTGAGAAGCAGTGGAAAGGAAAACTCTCCCAGAGAAAGCATTAGTTGTCTGATGGTAGCTTGGGCTCACAGCCTTGGCACATCTACTACAGGAGGAGAGTTAGACGGCAAGGAGGGACGTTCAACATGGCATCTCCTTAAGACTGGGCAAGAAGCACGAGTGGAAGCATGGAGAATCAGGCCCAGCGTGATGCTGAGCAGACTAAGAACACGAGGTATAGGTGTGTATGTTATGTGAATTAAGAATAAGTATTATAAAAAGAAACATACCTTGGAATTAAAGATAACATACTTTGGCTTACACATATTGTCATATGCTGAGCTATTTGATAGGATAGATGATGTTGCATTTAGCTCCACTCCACCACAGGGAATTTGAAACTTCTTGTAAATAACCTAGAATAAGAGTGGAAGACAGTTAATTGCTAAAAAAAACTAATAAAAAGCAAACTAAAATCAAAACATGAGGCAAATTGTGAGTACCCTATCAAGTGACCGTCATCCAATGAAGAAATCAAGCTGAACTTACCACTACCAGGAAAAATACCATGCAGCTTAATGAAAACCCACTGGTATAGCCAAGATACCCTGAAAGAAATTAAAAGGATATATGATCAAAATTATTTTCTTTACCCATATCTTGGGTTTTAATTCTTTTTATTGCTTCACGAAGTCTGAATCTGGTATACATTTAGTATGTATCATGCCCTTCTGGGCAGGACTAACCCATGTCCTGTCAGGGGGGGAGTCTCCCGTATCTCAAGCCTTGTGGCTTTCAGACAGATCCGAGCTTTTCTCTGACTGGTTTGACCTCCCGAGGGTCACCTTTATGTCAGTTTAACTACTTTTACTTTTGAAAGGGCCTGTGATAACTGAAAGAAATCCGAAAATGCACAACTGCAATCAGAATGTGACCCAGATTCTGAGCCACGTCAGCTGAATGTGGGTTATTTTCTGGGGAGGAAGATCCCAACAGGACTCCAGTGCCGAAACTTGTTACATGGCCTTAAAAAGTACATTGTGTACCTCCTGGCATCTCTGTGGACTCAAACACATCTGAAAATGCAATCCTGTATCTGAAGGAGGCCTGTAGGGATGCTGGGGACGGACTCTTCAATAGGGACTGTAGTGATAAGACACGGGGTAACGGTTTCAAAGTTAAACAGGGGAAGTTTAGATTGGAAATAAGGAGGAAATTCTTTCCTGTTAGGGTGGTGAGGCACTGGAATAGGTTGCCCAGGGAGGTTGTGAATGCTCCATCCCTGGCGGTGTTCAAGGCCAGGTTGAATGAGGTTGGGTAATATGGTTTCGAGTGAGGTGTCCCTGCCCATGGCAGGGGGGTTGGAACTTGATGATCTTGAGGTCCTTTCCAACCCTAACTATTCTATGATTCTATGATCTTCAAAGCCCAGTGCCTCCAATTAACCTCACCACTAAAAATTCCAATGCTGATAGAAAACTAAGTTACTTTTTGTAATCTCACAATTTGTGAACTTATTTTCCCAGGGCACACATAAAACAGAATTGCTTTATAAAATGAAGACCCTCTTAACTGTAACTTTAGAAATAAATTTCCACAGCTGTATGGAAGAAGCTGGTTTATACCGAGTTCAACCACTGTGACAATTTAGGCTTACTTGTTCCAAGATGCTTAAACACAGCTTATTCCTGGACCAGGGTGGCTGCTAAGGTTACAGTGAGAGTGTTTATTTTTCATTACAGTTGAGTTGCCAGTGTGGCTGCCAGTGGCATGGGCTCCTTTATTTTATTCCCACAATGACATTTTCATCTTACCTAAGTTCTTAAGCAGACATAAAGGGAGGATTATACCAAACGTCACTGTGACAACAAGAAACCGCCCATCCACATACCATGCCCTGTATAAAAGAATTGAAAGAACCCATGAGCACACCTTAAATCCTCTTCAGTTCTTCTCACACTCAGTCAACCTCTTTGCTGCAGTTACAGAACTACCTCTGGTCTCCTTACCCTACAAGCTCCTACAAAAGGAGAGATGGGGGGGCCACATCTAAGCTTTGTAGACTCATTAAGTATCCAGGCCTTAAAGCATGGCACTGCTCTGACTCAGGTATGGCAGATTTTCATAGTCATCAAGGAAAATGTGACCCTACTGATGAGACCAGCGAGTGGGACTGAGAGGCAGAACACCACCCTCCCTAACCTGATACAAGCCCCCTGCCAGGACGAGGAAAGATCATGCGAAGGGCAACACATACAGCTCAGTGGGGCAGGGGGGGCCACCAGATTTGTTTGCTAAACCACCTGGGCATGTGCTTGGAGCAGCAAACCAGGCTCCTTCAGGCTGGCATGCACTAGCCAGCCCAAGCATGTATCTCCTTCTAGCCAAGTGCTTTGAATCCTGCTGGGAAGCAAGAAAGTGGATAAGAGACAGTGTCAGTGACATTCTGTATGACCTATTTCCACTGCTTGGTCCAATTTAGTATGGAAGCCTGAGGAATGGGATCTCTGCTTTCTTCTTGTGTACTACAGCACACCATATAACCCAGTGCAAAGAATATTTACCACCCCTCTTATCAAAGAAGCTGGTAAATGTCATGGAGTGGTAAGTGCCAGAAATCTATGTATAACATTCTACCGTTGTCATATGCTAGTACTGAGAATTTCATACTACAGACAGTGCTTCAGAGGCAAAATTCTGTAAGATACTAAGGACACAGGGAAATGCAAGATTATCTTAAACATGCATCGTTTCCAATATCTTAAGGTGATGCCTAACTCTGAAAGACTGAATCCTACTATAACAGGATCCTACGATAACAGGATTGTATAGACCACAATGCTACACGATATTTGGTGTGCAAAGAGAGTGACTACTGATAACTTCACGTTTCATTTCCTATTCATCCTCTTTCCCTTCCCAGAGTTGTTTTGGTTTTTATTAACCCCCTGAGATATTCCTGTGAAAATCTACTTGGACAAATCTAAAGAGTATCCCACACTTAAAAGCTTTTATAAACATATACTTCAACTTATCTACACAGCATTAAATCCTATAATCTAACCACCAAAATTAATTCAACTTACGAAAAATTTTCTTCTTTTCCCATTAGGAAGTTTATGGCAGAAGACAGCTCATTTTTGACTATGAAGAGATAGCTCAACATTGCTGGAGGAAGGAAGAAAGTCAGTTTAGAAAACACGTAAGATATTCGTGGAGCAAGTACAGAGAAGCATCCTGAACCTTTTCCCACATCAGTGTCTGATGACAGAAGACCCCAAACTATAATTGACCATAAACTACTGATCATCCACTAATACAGCATGTTGAAAAGGCTGCATGCAAAGCGCTAGCCACAGCAGTATTGAGGAGCATGATGATCCCAAGACGTCACCGAGAGAAGGAGGAACCTGACTGGTTGATAGCTGTAAAATTAAGACATTTCTGGGTTTTGTTTTTCAGTGTCCCTCATCTCCTTTACCTCCAATGTTCTGGAGAGATGTAGATCCAAAGACAAGCATTTTCCCTGGGGTACCGAAGACTTGCTCACCCAGCTTTTCATACACCATGCAGCCTGCATTTAAAGAATGAAGGAGAAAGGTAACAAATACACTGGTGACAAATGCTCGGTTGAAACTCTTATGCTTCCTTTTCAGCAAACCACCCATCTGTGCAGCCATGTCTGCCTTTTGCAAGTAAATAGAGAGCTCTCTTGTAATTACTAGGGCTGAAACTTATGTAGGAATGTTGTCTTGACGTCTGTAAATGTTATCATTGGCTACCAGGCACTTCTGAAACTGAAGCTCTTAGTGAAGCTTTTACACTCCTTTAATGAGTTTGTCTATACCTCAGTAACATGTTAAGTCCTGGTATCCCCATGTGGGGATATTAGGTTTGTGCCCCCAGTGACAGTGACGCAGAAAGCCTCCTCTCCAGACAGAACTTGGTACGGTAGGATCCACAAGACAGCACTGGCAGCCTGGCCAAAGCAGACACAGTAACTGCAATTTGCTTGCTTTGACTAAATGATCCAAATGAGGGCAGTCACTGTTTACAGGATGATTTACAACTTCTAATGAGGAAGCCTTAACTTGCAAATTCTCAGTGTGGTATGTTTTTGGTAAGAGCAGGGAGAGGTGTAAATTATAACTAAAACTTTTCAATATCTGTCAAGCTTGAGAAACCACTCAATTAGTTTGCCTTAAGTGTTTTTCTGCTTCGCTGTGATTTAGGCTGAGAAAAAGACTGGATACTGTGAAGATGAGAACAGAGAGAAATATTGCACATGCTGCGCTGTAACGATGATCTCTAAAGTGCATCCCATTGTTTGGTTTTTCTCCATATTTCCTTATAGCTGACATTTCTGCTTTGAAACTTGTATAAACAGAAGGTTCGAGTTTAAATGTAACAGCAGCATAGAAACAGGGCTTAGATTCTGAGAACTAAGAGGGCACTCATGTCCACAATTAGGCATATGTACCTAATTTAAACAGGCTGTTGCAACCTATGCTGCGTAATACCTCCTATTACAGTAACTCGTGTGTCCAGATTACATAGTAAAATATTACAGTGCTCTCGTGCACAGATCATTTTAGCAGTCTAGCTTCAGATACTGTTTCCCAAGGGAAGAGTCTCCCAGATTTCTGAGCACAGTGACACGTAACAATGTAGGTTACTTCCTATTTCTGTGTTTAGAATATATTTTGCCTACAGCTGCACTTCTCTCTGGAGGAACAGTTCCCTTTTATGTTGTAGGAAACCTCTCACTATACCACAAAGGCTTATCAGGAATTTCACGCTAACCATTTAAGGACAAACTGTATTTCCAGGTAAGCTTCACCATAGGCAAAGATTCATAACATTTCATTTGCAATTGGTTTTGTAATGCAAAGAAACCGTGAGCTGTTCTTTCCAGCTCACTGAAGACAACATTTCATGGTAGCAAAATTCACTCGTTGTAGTAAGTTTTTCCCTCTGTAGTGACGGTCACATGCTGTTCTCCATTGACATATCATGAATTCTTGTTAATTCTGGACTTCTGACCCAAAATGTGTTAGGCCTTTCCATTGTGTGAGCAAAGCGATGGAATTCCATCTTACACAAAGCACCTGGCCTTATATGAGCACTTTTTATCTCTTGTTCTTTACAAGTCTACTGAAAGAGTATAATAACATCTTAAATTACCTGTTTCCTTTGAACACACCAACAGAAGATGTATTGAATAAATAGACAGCAGTGTCACTGAAACCAAGAGCAGCCTACAAAAGAACAGAAAATAAAGCTTACTGTAAGAGCTGAGCTCTAACACTGCAGTATTTCACATCAGGTCATACTCCTGTCGATTCCAAGATGTTCTTTTTCACTCTTGACAATGCAAAAAGCCCTAAAAATACATGTGATCCACATACTGTTTGCAGTTTGACCACACCACAGTGCAGGCAGAAAGCCCTGCACACAGAGGGATTCAACCATGTCAGCCAGCAGAGCAGCCTGTCAGTGAGTTGTATCTCCCCATACTGAAAGACTCAGGAATAAAGATGTCTGGTCAGATAGGAATTATGATTCAGTCAGAGCAGGGATGAACCAGGCATGGCCCTCACCACCTAAAGCTTTTTTTTTCTGGAAGCAGGTAAAAACTGAGAAGGAAAGTTGTCTATTTAAGAACTTCCATACCAAATGGAAGCATCTGTTCCCAGGGCATGTTTCATGTGCTATCAAAAGGGTGCTTTTTATGTGCCTCCCAATGCACAAGCAGGGGGAAGAGGAGGGGAGATAAGGCTCATCTGGCTTCCCTTGGGAATAAAGGCAGAAACCAAAGGCTTATCCTTTGTCCAGGTGGCAACTGGGGTTCCCTCACTGATGCCACTCCTGGTCTGCTGCGATACACAAACTGACTTCATGTAGAAGAACTGGAGGAAGTAATGACCAAATTGTTTGTGTAGGGAACTTGCTGGCACAAATGATAATTAGTCAGGGCCGGGGGCTAAGTGCATAAAACCACATTTGCTCATTGCTCTGTGTCTTGGAGCCAAGCACCATGTGTGCTTTCCTCTCCAACACTCTGACACACAAAGACCTGATGATGTTTTCATGATGTGTGTGAAGAGCATTCAGACAATCTGCTGGCAATTCCTCTCTTTATTATGACAACTACTCTCAGGACACCAAGAAAAACAAGCCCAAGGTTTAACAGAAAACAAGCTGCTGCTATAGGTAGGCAGCAACACAGCTTTTTCATAGGAAAGAACAGGATAAAAAGCCTCCTCCCCCCACTTTTTTATTATCTTAGACTAGAAATATTTTAGAGCCAAATAATGACCCACAAGTTTCATGGGGCCAGAGAAGGGAGAAACATAAAGAGGTGATAGGAGGAACTGCTCTTTTGCCAACAAAGAGCGATGGTTGACAGCAACAACAGACTCTTTGTACAGCCCAAAGGGTGTTTCTCCTCCAGAAGGTGGAGAAGGGAAGGGAGATTGCACTGGCTGAGGTCACTCTGCTTCATTTTTCGTGTTCCCTGCAGAGCTGTTACACCCCTGCCCGCCTGCAGGCACGGTGCTCACAGCTCCCCTATGCTCTGTGCTGGGCTGACTCACTCCAGCCCCAAATGGCTCCTACTAAGCATGCCAGCACTGATTTTACTTCAATATTGAAAGCTCCCGTTTTTCAGGCACTGAGCTCACAGAGCCTCTGCAGCGGTAAAAATAACACTCCCAAGCAGCCAGGTATTTATCTGATCTGTTGTCCTTAGCTCCCCATAGGGTTCTTGCAGGGACACTTGGCATTTCCATTAGCGCTGTATAAAAAACTTGTTTGTGTTAGGGCTGTGGTATGGACAGGAATATTCGCGCCAGAACCGCCCCTTGGAAAGGAAGGATAATGTCCATGCCACTCGCTCTGCACAAATTCAAAACAGAAGCAGGGGAGCTCGCACTGCAGGCCCAAAAGCACTCCTGTACTTTTCATTCTGCCCGCTTTTAAAGGAGTGCTGGCAGCTATGCAAGAGAACAGCACATACAAAACTCACCTCCTCCCAGCAGATCCAGAATAAACAGTTTAGGGCAGGGGATTCATACAGTGCTGTGAAGAACAAAGTGTTCTGCAGTGGCACTGTTGTTTGCTCCCAGCTGCTGTATTACCAGCTCAGCTGAAACTGGCTGTGCTGTCCCCAGCCTTCCTGTCCAGTCCCAGGCTTTAGAGGTAGAAGACCTGTGAGGCTTGGGCAGTCACCTGCCCTATTGCACAGAACAGCTCTGAACCACACAAGGTATGGGGTGCACAACAGCGCGGAAGAGCATGGCGTTTGCCACTGTACATCCTCCCAGAGGGTCTGGTCTGCCCTACACCTCTGGAGGAGTTGGCTGCGGCTTTATGGCTGCTTCCAGCCAACCCTAGCAGAAGCAGCTGCAGAATGCAGTGTGAAACTTTGGTTGTAGTCTCATACTGCACCTCATCTAACAAGGTCCTGTGCCTCAGCAGGGCTTTTTCAGACCATGTGCAGTGCCATGGCATGGCAGGCTGATCTTGCACTCAGCTGGCCCGTATGTCTCTGCAGCACAATCCATCACTCTGGTCCTGGCTCTCCAAGATGAAACCACAGGCAGCAAGGAGTGCTCCTGCCATCCCTGCCTGTCCTGGCCTATCCCCAACTTCCCAAGCCTTTCGTGCCATTGTTCTACAGCAAAGTTCTGTCTCCTTTTGCATACGGGAAACAATGCTCTTCTTTGGATAGGGTGTAGATATCAACAGTACTGGGATTAAGTTCCTACCACATTTGTTTTGCCTAGAAATCATGACACTTTGCTATGGCACCAACTTATGCAAATAGGATATGAGAGTATATACTCATTGCCATATTTATCTTGCATGTCTTATGCCATGAGTATAGGATCTGAACCGATCCAGACATGCATGGCAGCACATACTTCACACTGCAGGAGCCTAAAAGGTGTGAGAGGAAATCAGGCTGGGTATGCTTTGTTAGTGTTGAAAATGCTCCTTTAACTTTTCCACCTCTGCTTCTCAGGGATGGTGCAAACCGATACTAGACAAAGCAACACAGAAACCTTCCCCATCTGTGCTACTCACGAACAATGAATTTAAGTGCTTTCTAATGTGCAGAAATGAACGTATTGCTAGGACTCTAATCACTTGTAATGCAGAAATGGTTCTAAGATCTACCTGTGATAGCGACAACAGAACTATACATTTATGAGAAAGATACACTAAATGAGTGTGAGAAAAAATCTACCACTAATGGACTAGTTTTAACTCTTGAGATTGTCACATGATAAAAGAACATTTAAAGGAGCCCAACTTTCATGTGTAACTGCAGACACCACACTGGGATCTTGTATCCCCAGGCTTCAAAGGGGAAAGCTCTGCTAGCATGGTCAGTTAGGTCCTGCTAGCTTCCTCACCTTTGATCTCAGCGGGCTGGTCTACCTCCAGGCCAACAGATCTAAAGGCATTACAAAGCTAACAGAAACAATTATCCATTTTTAAATACACACAATTAATTCTGTAGAGAATAATGCTGTTATTTACCATATAAAATCTCTACATTCAGGGTTGGCAGTTTTTTGAACAATGTGGTGGTACAGATCTACACACTCACTACTCAGCCCAAGAAGAGCCCCAGTCACCACCACACAATGTCAGAAGTTCCTCTGGTGTTCGCATCACTGGTCTGATCTATTTCACTTGAAAGAAACTGCCTTTTACATCCTTTAGAGCAAACACATTTCACATTTCCCTTCACTCTCATGAAAAACTGCTGGAAGAATGAGATGAGGGTGAGATTACAGAAAACTGAAGCAGGAAGGAGAAGCTGAGGTTGCTCCCTGGCTGAGACACTATTATCACAGAAGAGGTAACATGGCTGAAAAGAGAGAACTTTCCTTTCCTGGCTACAGCAGTTTTTGCCACCATTGGTCTGTGTGTGCTTGTCAGAGCATCATAGGGAATATCACATACAGGTTAGTGCACTGGGTAAGAAAAAGCAGCAAAAATAAAATCAACTCAGCTGCTTTGCATAAGAAAGACCTCAATTCGAGTCCAGCTACCTTACAGCCTAGCTTAGTGGCACCACGATTATGAGACTTTGCACATTCTTAATGTAAATGGATTAAGGCCTTGGATTATTCCTGGATGTTACCCAGCCACAGCAAACTGTAAGCTAGCAGCATGGATGTAGCTGTCCGGGCACAAAACCCCAGAGCAGATGGCTATATGTACCACTTTGGCCATCTACTCTGCTACAGACAGGGCTCATATTTCCCAAACGCTGCAGCAAACAGAAGTTCTAGGTTTTTAGATTGGACATTCAAGAAATGACACCTTGTAAAAGTAATCTGTAAACTCAATAACTGTGTTGAACACTTCTCAAAGATTGTAAATAACCGCATTTTTTCCCTCAATGAACATTTATCATTGAAACCTGCACACAATTCCCAACCGATTTCTTAACAATCGCTTTTCACAATGAAACGTATCATACTGTGATCCAGAATAACACAGAACAACACCGTCTTACTCATCCACTGGCAACACTTCATTCCTAAACTATACAATTCTCCTTTACAGAATGCCTCTTTTTTGCTGGAGTTAAGTATTCTACCTCAATTCTTTTTTATACTAAAATTTTGGCTATTTATGCTTGCTCTCAAAGACTCTCACATAAGAAACTGGAGAAACTGTGGGATTGAGATGAAAATATTATATGGAACATATAAACAAATATAAATATTCTTTCATTCTTTTTCTTGGTTTCAAAAAGTAGTTATTGCATCATGCTTTGATGAAAGCTCTGGAGATCCCGTGACATGACTGAGAACTAGGTACTATCCAATTGCAACTATTGCTACTGAATACTTCTGATGTATGTGTAGCTTATGGACCATAGGAAAAATCCCTGGCTAGGCTCAGGTAGAAAATAACATGGACTCGATTTGCTCTAGCATTACAAGTAGTAGCTTTTCCCCAAAAAAGATCTGACTAAAAAAAAGTCCAAAACTTGTAGCTAACACTTTCAGGCTTGAATGTTGTACTTGATTACGGATGGAGTGTAAATCCCTCCACTTGATGGCAGCACACATGTTCTCTGAATGCAGTGAAACTGCCCAGAGATCAGCTACTCACCACGCAAATACTTACAGAAAAAGGAGAATTCCTGTGTTGGCCAAGGCAAAAGAGAGACCCAAAATCCCACTGCCCATAATCGCATTGCTGAGGTTGAAGACAGACATTCCCAGAGAAGTAGTTCCTGGAATCTGGAGAAGTAAAGACCGACGTGTCAGCAACAGCTTGGAATGGAGCAGGGAAATGCATCTGTGCTCCAAACTCCACATATATTGCAGTGTATCAGATATAAGTAACTACTGCTATGGAAATGACTTAATAAAAATTGGTCTGAAAGAGGAAAAAGCATCTCTGAACACTGTCACAGCTGCACTCTGACTGCTGAAAACTGACATAGATGGTGGAGGCAATATACAACTCATACTACAGTTTCTGTTTTAAACCCCATCTCTTTTGCTATGCCTGTGAAACATCTTAGATGCTCGATTTATATATTGTAAGGCCATAAGGACCCACTAGGATTTCTGCCTAACACAGGCCAGAGGGATTCCCTTGCCTCAACTTGACCAAAATGTTTGTTTGGGTTATTTTTACTTATTTATTTATCTATTTAAAAGTGCTGAGCATAGACAGCTCCTACAGGAACTTGAATTTAAGTTATAATTGTGTGTGCCCAGAGCTTCTGAAGACTGTGTCTAAAGGCCCTTCATATACACAACATAGAGTTCATTTTGACAGGGAAAAGAACAGCAAGAGAGACTTACATATTCATCACATTTCTTCTTCTCCAAGTGGCTGTTTGTGAGACTTCTTCTGCTTTCACGATCCGAAATAAACTTGCTGAAAGAAGCCAGAGGATTTATTTCCAGCAAGTGTTTAGGAAATGTGAACACATTAATTCTGTGAGCAGCATGTGATTACAAAATACGCAACATATAAAAACTGTATGTGAAAAGAGGTCAGACTCATAATTATTTAATGAGCCAGATTAGGCTTCACTGATACCAGTGTATGCTGGGCATCAATAAAGGTAACATGAGCATAATCAGAATAAATGTATATATACAGAGTAAGTCTTTTAGAAGGTTCAGTAAAGCAACAGCACCAGCTTTGTGGATGGGAAAGAAATCTATTTGCAGAGACATTAAGAGGAGATACTTCTCCAAGTGTCCTGCAGAGCTGTGCGTGACAGGTATCCCTTGCTCCCAACACCTGCTCATGTGATTAGCATTACTAAAGCCATTTCATAAGGCAAACAGCCATTCTCTGACTGAGTGGGTCATGTATTCATTCCCTTTCCCTCATAATCAGGCCCTGAAGGTCCTGTGAACCAAGCAGACAAACCACACAGATGTCTTCTTCCCCTCCCTATCAGCCTCAAAACTCCTGGGCTCCAGTCTGATTACTCCTTTCCTAGCCAGCCTTGAATGTCCCAAGGCAACCAGCCTGCTGGGCAGTGGTGATGACCCCCTCACAGAACAGGGGACTGTAACAGCACCCAGATGCTATATTGTCTGTAAAACCAAGCAGGTACAAGTCCTGCATGGGGAACTGGGATGGGAGCTGCTGCTGGGCGGTGACACCCAGGACCCGCAGTGGTCAGGTACACCACCACCGTCCTCTGGCTACTCAAGAGGACTGAGGGAGTGACTTGTATCCTTCTATATGATTTACAAGTCTCGGTTATGGTTGTTACAGTGATACAGCAAACCATATATTAAGATTTGATCTGATCTGCATAGAATCCAGGTGACTAGAAATCATTAAGTTAATTGATTCTGCTTGTAGAATCCTGTGCCATTCTAATAATAATTTCTGAGCTACAGTAATCATAATATCCTGAGGAAATAAAGCTATAACTGTAAATACTATTTAGTGCTGTCATCATTCTGCCAAGGATCCTTGACAGACCCTATCTGTTCCCTCTGTATTGGGTGGCACTGCAGCACCTTGCGAATAGCTAAATTGCCACCGCAGGGTCAGTGTGGCTGGAGTTAAGAGCAGGAAGAGGTGCTGCATCCTGAACCAGGCAATGTGCTCTGTTGGTGCACAGCTCAGGGCTACTTGATTGAATTCACCATACTGCAAAATGACACACTTCTGTGCATGGAAACATGGAATAAACAGGTATTATTTTTCTCTGCACCCTTTACTTGTTCTGTGTCCTTGATTTATCCACATTTAGGAACTTACCGTCACCAGAATAAGATTTGCCTCCTGCAGCTCTATTGGTATCTTTGGGATTTATGACAATACTGGTTTGGATGAGCTGTTACTTTCTCACAGATCTTTTCTCAGCAAGTATTTTAGTTTGTATAAAGCATTCTTTCAGCTTTTCATCTTTTGAATGTTTATGTACAATTAAGTCCCTGGCATCTTTGCTAATCCACAGATGGTTTTAGGCTGCACTGGCTAATGCGTCAGCCATTGTACATGTTTCATACCTAACCAGGGGCTGTCACCAAGTGTCAGAGATCTTTCTTGCTGTAGGTGAATTCAGGTGGCTCTTAAATTAAAACAGACAAACTATATGCTGAACACAACGAGCAGCTCCACTGGTCCTTTCCCTCCGCTGGGAATATATACTGGCTAGGGGTGAACAGTTCAAACTGTGACTCAAGACTGCATCACCGAGTACATCCAGCAGTACTCAGCCTCGTAATGTAACTGCAAACTCATACAGGCAGAGCTCTACCAAGTTTCCCTACTACCCCAGCTGTGACCTAGTTACGAGTGATGAACACTAGCACAGCTTCCAAGTGTATGCCAAGATCGTGCAGTTATAATGCTGCTGACTTAAGCTTCCTCAGCTGACACACTGGGCTCTGTGTCTTCACCATTTTGTATACTCCATACGCATTTTGAGTTCATCCCTTAAATCCAGGCATAGATGGCAAAATGTATGGACTATTTCTGATGGGTTGGTTGCAGCTTTGACTCCTGGCCACTGCTCTGCTTTGACTTCCTCACTAGCAACAAAAACAACTACAGGCTTCCCCTGTATTTTTTAACCCACTAAATTCAGCAACTAACTTGCTACAAAATGTAGACACTGTGCCACATTTACCAGCCCTAACGCAGTTGGAATAGATGGGTGAACCTCTCCCAGGGTTTTAAGAAGTGAAAACCAACTACTTCTAACACAGACTGATCCAAAATTAACTTTCCAAAGCTCACTGTGTAGGTATTTCATCCTCACAGAATAAAATCTCAACCTGATTCAGAGCATGTGCTTTTCTGTTTCATGTCTGTTTAAAGCCCATCTCTTGAATGCGGGCAGCAGAGTGTGAAAGGTTTGGAACAGACATTCCAACTCTCTCGAAACACCCCGCAGGCAATTTGTACAGGCAGGAGCACAGAGAAGAGTTTTGTCTCTTTTGGATTTGTAAGGGCTGCTGGGAACATCTGTGGACTTCTTCTTCTGTCATTTCCAGAGACCATGTGTCACTTTAGATTTTGTCAGACTTCAGATAGAAGTAACTTGTCTGCCTCCCTCTCCCCCTTGTCCTCATCCCTCTCCAGCCCCCTTAATAATTACAGAAATAACACATTTGTAAATACTATTATTATTGCCTCCTGGTATTACAGTTTGATGACAATTATTGTTAACACATGATACAAGACAACAATTGAGTAATACTGCCTGAATATAAAGCAACCGTGGGACTTTCCATTAGAAGACTTTTGACCAAATAAACAGCTTCTGCAGAACTGGTACCTACTGTGGCCAGCAAACACATTTTTACCTTCTGGATGGGATTTTAAGGAAACTAGTTTGATTTGATGGATCGATCCAAAGTACCTTCTTTGGTGTTAGTCCTACATTAAAATAGACCAGGCTTGTTGTCCAGCATCTCATCCTCTATTCCAAGCTGGGCTCTCCATCCACCCCATATTTACCATGTCACACTGCACATTTTTCTCCATCTATGCTGTGTGATGCGTATGGGAGGACACAGTCAGACAAACAAATGTGGCTACTGTGCTCCTAAATCATGAGGTACATAGCACTGCACCCAGCTGTTGTATGGTTTGTTTCCCAGCCCCAGGGTGCTTGATTGCTGGAGTGCTGCAGAGGTGCAGGATGTGGGGTCTGCCTGCTCCGGAGTCTGTGCTGCATTTGCTACTGCAGGCAACTTAACCTGCAAGTCCGGACAAGAAGGTTGCCTTGGGACTTTTAGGCTGAGAAAGTTGGGGCTGTTCAGCCTGGAGAAGAGAAGGCTGTATGGAGACCTCATAGCAGCCTTCCAGTATCTGAAGGGGGCCTATAGGGATGCTGGGGAGGGACTCTTCATTAGGGACTGTAGTGATAGGACAAGGGGTAATGGGTTAAAACTTAAACAGGGGAAGTTTAGATTGGATATAAGGAGGAAATTCTTTCCTGTTAGGGTGGTGAGGCACTGGAATAGGTTGTCCAGGGAGGTTGTGAATGCTCCATCCCTGGCAGTGTTCAAGGCCAGGTTGGACGAGGCCTTGGGTGATACGGTTTAGAGCGAGGTGTCCCTGCCCATGGCAGGGGGGTTGGAACTTGATGATCTTAAGGTCCTTTCCAACCCTAACTATTCTATGATTCTATGACTATAATTGGTAGGTGGCACAGATGCAGCGAGTGACAGATTAAGTTTTCCATAAACAGAATGTATTACTGAAGTTAAATAAAAAAGTGCAAAGGTAATCCAATGGATTCACCTGAGACAATTTTCCCAAGATTTTGCTTTTTTATAATTTTTTTTGTTCATTTGAGGGTGGGTTTTTCCCCCCTATAGCATATGAAAAGTAACACGTTGGAATGCTGGAATTTCTACTTAAACCGTGACATGCACCTTCTCTGCTCAATAGATGCGCTTAGGAAACAAGCTAGTCACTGTCACAGAACGTTGTACATTTGATCTTTATAAATACAACACAAATGAAGTGAAATGACTGTTTACTCCAGCCTCTCCTGACCTTCCCGAAGACCAGAGGCCACTGTGACAGGTGCTGTGGAAATGCACAGTAGGACTGTCTGTGCCATCAAAGCCTTGTGACTCCCCGACAAGCATGAAATCCATTTGTGCTGTTTGTTGTCTTCATTTCACACACTTTACTCATCATCATTGTAAGATATAACCTGTTCTTGTATGTTTCTGTTTTCCTGTTGTGTTTCCCCCATCACAGCTGAGTATGAACAACTTACACAAAACTTTACAGAGTCATTAATAGAACACCCTGGCCAAAACATAATTAGCTCATCCTCACGATGCAGGAAGCCTCATGGCTGGCTTGGAAAGAATTTCTTCATCTAATTCTTCTCCTGGCTTGATTTAGTGCAAAGCAGAAACTTAGTCTTACTGATAAAGCGGTTTTAAAAGGAGCATGCTTAACTATGGTTTCCAAGATTAACGTATTAGAGGACTTAAATGAGAAATGTTTCATTTAAGGGGATATCCCCAAGCTAGCCATTTCAGCAAAGCAGAGTTAGCAAAAAACCATTCAGCCATCTCAGATGTGTTTAAACATAATTAAATTAGAGTGATATTTGACAATGCCTTAAAGGTTTGTCAGGGAAAGCTCGTTTTGCCAAGATGACAGGACTTCACCCTTAGGCAGCTTCTTAAACTGAGCGCTAACCTGAGCAACAGCAAAGATTTCCGGGGCAGGCAGGAACAAGAAATGCAGAAGAAACCTTGGCCTGATTTACACCATGAAATTTGGACCACATCTGGTCTAACAACTTTGTTAACTGAACAAGGAGGGCTGAAAACTTACTAGCAGCTGTAAACCAAGACAGGCATTCAGCCATCAGCTTCCTGAAAGCCATCAGCATAGTAACGGATGAGGAGCAGGTCATCTAAATGCTGGTTTACAGTTGTGTGCAAAGATGGCAAAGTCTTATAGACAGGATACATGGTTAAAAGTCACCAAGTCCATGTCTGGATTTGTTGCAAGTCTCTTTATTGACATCCTCAGAAGAAAATTAGCATCTTCATACAAAGAACCCCCCTTCCCCCCAGTATAGCCCCTTCCAATCTACATCCCCTTCCTACATAGAACTGCATATATAACTGCATATTTAGGCCCAGAAAAGGATGTAAATCCAAACAAATATAGAGAATTCTTTTCCAAAATGAAGAAATATTTGGAATTTACAACCAGACCTGGAATCAGCCTCTACTTGATGTTTCCTCTCCAAAAGATCTTTAAAAACTCTGCTCTATATTGATCTTGAAAAATGATGCACTGGGAGGAAAGAAAGAATGTTTAAAATGGAATAGGGAGTCTAAAATAAAACAGGTCGAAACAACAAGTTGGTTGAAAATTACAGATCTAATCTAAAGCTCAAGTGAAATCAACGGAAAAATTCCCATGGATTCTGATGGACTTCGGAGTTTCACAAGACAAGCACCATATGCCAAAATGTGTTCTTCCATACATCCATTAACCTCTTATTCCATGGAGATAAGGTGTTTGCCAAAGTAGTTATGGAAAGGGAATAACCACACCCTTTCAGGATGCATCTGGCATGGAGTACAGAGCAGGGTCTGTCTGCCTGCTCATCACCCATACTGGTGCTGGCACAGGGCAGTTGCCATGAGTGGCTCAGACCCAGGGAATGCTGATGGGGCTGCTCCAGTGCCAATGTGCTGCTGTGCTGGAAGCTGTGGTCAGTGTGAACTGCCTTGAAACTCTTGGTTTAGACATGGAGGGGAATATGGACACACCAGAATGTACATAGAGCAAAATACTAAGCACGGGGTGCAGTGAGCACCCTGATAGAGGGATAACAGGCAACCTTAATGGGCTACATCCTATAACCAAATGATGCTCTGCAGAGGAAAAAAGTTACCCAGAAATGAATGGAGAACTCTGGAATATGTTCATCTGCCCTAATAGCCACAGCAGTAGTCAGAAATTCTCCATCTGAGTTTCTGACACCCTTTCCTCACCCACTTTTCTTCTTCCCTTTGTAGGCAGTGCGGACAAAACCCAGACCTTGCCACGCTTACTACGCCCTAACTCCACAAAGTTCACTGTGACCGCAGAGGATCAGGCACATACGGCAGGCTCCCTCCCCACCCTCCATAAACATTCACTGGGAGATGAAGTGTTAGCAGGGTTTTTCCCCAGAACAGTTACTGGTGGCACCGGCCAACAAGCTGGGGAGGCGAGGCGCAGGCAGCCCGCTGCAGCCACTCCTTCTCTCGAGGATATAAATCCTCAGCAGGCTCCAGGGAGAGAATTCACCACTGTCAGCCCCTGAGCATCTCGCTTTGCAAAGGGAGCCAGCAGGGAAGCGAGCAGGTTCATACTGGAACTGTTTTGTTTTGGCAAAGTTGCAGGGTATTTTTTCCTTCAATAGAAGTGGTTCGCGTTTCACTTTGGCACTTTCCATCAAAGCAGTTGCATCAGAAAATTCCTGACCAGCTCTAATCTGCACTAGTGCAGCTGCACTGTGGTCCCACTGCTATACCACACAGCTGGCGGCCGCCCCAGCACTTCCCCATAGCAGGCAATGGGGAACACAGGCTGGCACCCTCTTGCTGGGGGGGGTCACCCATGTCACCAGCCAGGGCCCCCCACTTGCTCCCAGTGTATGGCCAACTGGTTTTGCTGCATGCATGGTATGGACATAAGGAATAAGCAGGTACTTATTGCTGCCCCCTATCCACCCATATGGCTGCAAGAGTCTTATGACTCTACCCTCACTTGGGAAAAAACAGCTCTTAACTTTGTTCTTACATCATAAAGTGAGTTTGTCCAGAAGAGCTGCTGCCAAAAGGAACAAAGGGCCAAAGAAGAGATTTTTAAAGACCATAAAGCCAGGCAGTGGCAGCCCAGCAGCAAAGGAGCAGGGGGATGTGCCAGCAGAGGCTTCTCAGCAGCACCAGTAGTGGGCATGGCTGGGTCCCCGTGCAGACACAGGCTCCACCTTGGTTTGCAATAATTGAACAAGAAGTTTGATCGAAAAACAGCTTCTCATTTTACAGCTTGCAAAACCCAAACAGGGTCTGCCAGCAGGTCTCTGCTGTAAACAGGACAGCTCAGCATCTGCTGGAGGCTGGTAGGAAAGCCTGAAGAGCGACCCATAGGTGGAACAGGCTATTGTTGGAAATGACTGTACAGCTTATAGGAAAAGTCAACATCCCAATGATTTAAACAAACCTAGTGATTTTCACTGATACTGACAAATAGGTGTGTTTTTTAAACTTGACATGAGTTAGGTGCAAATCTCTCTTACCATCTTCTTGCCATCCCTGCCCCAGGGGGAGGCAGCCACTGCCCAGTTTAACTTGCCGAACTGCAAACATGGACCAGGACTACATGTGCTGCCAGCCAGGAGCTTGTAAAATCTACAGGAGCTTGGATGCATGGAGGTGGCCAGGCAGGTCAAAACTGTCATATCAGAGATCAAAGGTAACAAAAGAGATTTGCCCCAGATTGTGCCATGGGTCTAATTGTATTCATTATTATCAGGCCTTTGCTGTGGGCAAGCAGACATTTCAAAACGTTGGCTTTTTGCTACACTATATGTTTGTGCATTTTATTAAGACTAATTTGAGAGATTCAAAACGATGAATAAATTGCCACTCTGTTTGCTTTATCTGCTCTTGCAGCCTATGCCCAACAGATGTCACATATGAAATTCAAATTACATCTTCAAACAGAGCATGACTCGGTAATGAATAATTCAAGACATATATATTAGAATACTGTTTTAAACACTGTGTTTCTTAGCACAGGCAGTGTCCATGGAAAAATACTCACCTATTTATCTGGCCATTTTCCACCTCTGTGAAATCATTTGAATCGTTGCTGATGTTATCATCTTCGGGGACAGTCATATTCTGCAATTCAGTCAGCTCTAATCCAGCTTTGAAAGGCATCCTGAGTGAGTAACTGTACCGATCCAAGTGTTTCTCCAAATATTAGTGTTTGGTTGGTATCTGGTGAGTAAACTGCAGCCACAGTGTCAACAACCTATATAAAACACAAGAAGAAAACCCACGAGATGTACACCACCACCACCAGGCAGTGTTACCAGAATAAACCAAGTGAAATCTGGACAAGAGGGACCATCCTCACCAACCAATTTTTATTGTTAGATGGACTTCAGCTTATAACCTAAATGCATTGTGGAACAGTAGTAACCTTATACTCCTTAATGAGATCAACTTCACTAACCTTACAAATTCACATGGTCCCACAACCTGCTGCTGAAGGGGGTACTTGTATTTATAAACTAATGAGCAAACGAGTCTTCTTTGTTTCAGGAAAAAAAGATCAACCACCTACAAATTAAGGAATAAAACTGATTTAATTGTCTAAGTCCCATTTTGGTATTGGTATTTGTCTTCCATATGTTCTCCATTCTTACTTAAAAATATCAAACATATTGTGTCCATGATGTTGCTAAGTGGATGGAACAGAGCGAGAGAGCTGTCCCAGTACTCTGTTCTACTAATACCTGTATTCCAGGCATTTGAATAAGTTAAGGGTTTTGGTAAAGAGGATGTGCGTAGGATCCTTTGCATATGGTCAAGCTTATTCTGAACAAGGGCAGAAACAAACCAAACTAAATCCCTAAGCTTGTGTATCACAGAGAGTAATGTGTATCTAGTGTCCAGCAGTTATTATCTGGAGATCAGGGGAGCTCTCCTCTGATCGATGTGTTTCATAAATCACCAGGAACACCACCAAAGGGAAATCCAGGCAAGCCTGCTACAGTGACATACTTGCTCATCACCAATGCAAATCGACTGAAAGACCAGTATTTTCCAGAGCCCGACCACTCTCAGCTGAGCTACAACTCCAGTGTGGTGCTGAGGCAACAGGCTGTTATTCACAACCCAGCTCCTGCACCACAGCTCTCCCGCTTCCCATGCCGTGAATGAATTCCTGCAATACTATTCACCCTGGGGTACATGGTGAGCGCTCAGATGCTAGATTAATCTGGGAATATCTTTCAATTCTCAGGGCTACCTCAAACGCATCAAACTGCTCACATGCAACCAGAGAAGCAGGAGCATCCCTGGCTCTTGCAGGTCTTAAGGCAGAGGGAAGTAGCTCACTTGGTCAGTTATGCTATCGGCCTGTTTCAAATGAAGTTTACAGGACCCAATACTTCTGGTTTATACCACATGCTCACCGCACAGAAAAGGGCTTTGCAAATGAGCAGCTTCTTCCCTCAAACATTGTCTCAGAAATGCAGTTTTAAAGTTTACATGCACTCTTAACATCCCCTCAAGAGCCCAAACTGGCCAAATTTCAGGTTTAAAAGCTAGCCTTGAGGCTTAGAGTAAGGCAGGACCTGCTCTTTTCTACTGAAGGAGCAGGTAAGCACATGGTTACAGCAGCAGACGGGGTCTGGTTTAGCCTGGTGAGAGGATGGTTTGGGGGGATGTGAGCTGGGACCTTTTCAACTGCTCTATGGAAGAGATTTCCACTACAGATACCAGGGGAGCAAGCGCTCGGGTATTAAAATGTCAGCACAACAGAAACAAAAAGGATCCAGGCTGCTGATACATAAAAGCAGACTGGCAAGCAGAGGGTGGCCTTAGCAGTGACATTCTGGAACAGTCTTCCCAGAGGCTGCAGGGATAAAATAGTCTACCTATTTTGGAAGAGAAGCACGATCTTCTTATGAAAGGATAAAGCCACGGGAGATGGCGACTGCTGAGGTGGCAAGAACCCAGCCTGCTGAATCCTTAAGGTTTTTGTGACCATGAGTTCCTAAAATAAACAATTCCTTAGCAGACCTGACAATCTGTGCTCCGAGATCTGTATTCCCCGGCACTTAAACATCCAAGTAAAGGTTCGTCTAAGATCCAAGCAGAGAAGCTTCCCCTTTGGTCTCCCAGGAGCGTTTTCAGAACTGCCCTGACATTGCCTGTGCTTAATAAATTCCCTGTTAAGTGTTCCAAAAGCAGGTGCTGAAATGAGCCCTCTTGTGAGCGTGCTGGAGAGCAAACTTCACAGCTCACTGACGTGCAGATCCTGCTCTGCCATTCTGCCCCTCTGAAGCTGAAATGCTGCAAGGCCGGACTGGCAGGAAAGCGGCTCGCTGCTTTGTTCACCAGGAATCTTTGCAGTACAAAAGTGACAACCTTCTTTTGTTTTAACCCAAACTCCGATCCCACAGAAAACTGACTGAATGGAGACTTTTTACAAGGGCAAGTAGTGACAGGATTGGGGAGCAGCTTTATACTGGAAGAGGGTAGATTTACATTAGATATTAGGAAGAAATTCGTTACTGTGAGGATGGTGGAACACTGGAAGACATTACCCAGAGAAGTTCTGGCTGCTCCATCCCTGGCAGTGCTCAAGGCCAGGCTGGATGGGGGTCTGAGCAACCTGGTCTAGTGGAAGGTGTCCCTGCCCTTGGCAGATGGTTGGAACTACATGATGTTTAAGGTCTCTTCCAATCCAACCCAGTCTATGATTGTATAAGACAGAGTGAAATGTTGGTGCTAGCAGTGTCAGCTGAAGCATCAGCATCATTCCATCAAATTCTGGGTTTCAGGCAGACACATTCCTCCTGAAGCAAACACATCTTTGAATCTGCCTCAGGTTACGTGATTTACTAAAAAAACACCAACCAAAACCCTGAAACAACAACAAAAAAATTGTTGAGTGAAATAAGGCACTGCATTTCCAAGCATAAGTAAAGCTGATCTCAGCCCCAAAACATGAGTAGGGCGAACAGAGAGAGCGGTGGGGCTTGGGACTGAAGCTTTTATTGTCATGGCACGAACTCATTGCAAATCTTTGGCAGAAGATAACCAACTTGTCCTTAGCACCTCTGTCTGTAAAATTAAGATTAAATAGTGACAATAACACTCAGTTTGTGAAGTGCTTGCAGATTCAGAAGGAAAGGGTGATAGAAGTGTGATACCTGGGAAAAAACCCACTATGCAAGTCTCTTATTTTTGCAAAGGTAACTTTACCTTAGATATACAGAAAGCAAACCCCTTGTCATGGCTGATCACACCAGGCCCCCTCCATAGGCAGTGGAATACAGGTGGTCACACAAATTTCATACCAAATTACCTTGTTTTAAATTTCAAGTTCCCAGGTGTGACAAATCTCAGCATCTACATAAAATTCATGGTCCAAAAGGGTAAGGTTCACGTCAACCAGCTTTACCCCCTACAAGTGCAGTATCCACTTCAAGCTCATCATCTGGCCTTTACAGAGGAGCATGGTGCTGCCAGAGGGCAATCCGTCCTGGCCTTGCTCCCGAAAGGGAGCTTCCATACTGGGATAACCAAGCTAAGGAAGTCACCATATCAAGTGTAGGCACCACTAATACTGTGGGAAGGAAAACAAATTGCTTCCACTGATAAAGATTCACCATATGCTGATGCTGAGCTGTATTGGAAGCAGCAAGGTAATACTTGCACTTTTAAGGCCTTTTCATTCAAGAAATGTCACGAAATAAACGAAAATAAAAATGCTATGTTGGCAAAAGTTCCCAGGCTGAGCTTTATTCCTAATTCACGTTGACAAGTAAATAATCATCTGAGGAATTACTGCAACAACCCCAATCACTCCCAGTCACTGTGCCTGCTACTCTGCCCAGCCTTAAGCCTCCTGAAATGCCATCAAACCTTTCCCTCCAGACACATAAACAGTAAATGAACAAGAATTTTGCTCGTACTTCAAACATTTCTACTTGGATGGGCAAACATTCCTTCCTGAAGCAGGGATCACCCTGAGAGAAAACCAGGAAAGTGCTAGTGATCCTTCTAAAGGAACCTCAAAGGTCTGTGTTTGGTGGCTGATCCAGCCCCTCTGTTTAGTAAAAAAATCACTGCTCTGGCCTAGGAGCTTGGCTTTAAACATCCCATGACATGTCTTGTAAAACCCATTATGGATAATTTATTCATTGTGTGCTCCTTACAGAATATGGGAAAGATCACAGCTGGTCACAGACTTCAGAAGGAGGACTGTGAGATGACACAAGAAGATAAAAAGAGTTTATTTTTCTCAAGGACATTGAGACCTTCACAAGCCATTAAAACACATTCCAAGAACTGGGGTAATTTTCTCTGTTGCTGACTGAAACATCAACAAAACCAATAAATCTCTGCAACTCCAGTTTTCTGGACTGTTAAAATCCTACACCAGCAGTTCAAGGGGCTCAAAAAGTTTGTATTCAAGAAAACATGTCAATACAGACAATCTAACTTCATGTTTTCTGCTGGCTCAAGCACAAATCCTTTCTGGGCAGTACCCAGAAGAGGTGTAATCTCAGCAAACACTTTGCTAGAAGTTGTGTCTTTAATAGTAACATCATCACTCCTGGTGGTAATGGTGATGGCTTAATTCACAGGCCAGCTTTTTGCATATCCTGTAAATGACATTGTTAAAAATGTGCCATATGAAGACACACGGCCTCCCAAAAGCTGACCCAGTATGTGAAAGGCAACTGGATAAGCAATTGGGTTGGACACCATCTCGCCTGTCTCTGGGTATGTTTTCTGTCATGTGCCCTTGCACACTCACCAGGCATTTCATTCACTAGGTGCTTCCTGCAGTCAAACAGTGGCGGGGATGGCAAATATCCAAGACACACTATGCAATTTTAAGTATGGAATTCAAGATAATTTGCTTAAAAGTTGAAATATGATTCAACCTTTATCTCCAAGGGAGTTTTGCCAAGAATTCCTCCAGGTCTGTTACGAGTCATCAGAATCCAGCGCTTGAGTTTCACACAAGCTGATTTTATTCCTGCAAAGCCTTTCTTTGCTCGTACTTTTGAAAGTTCTTCCAAAGAAGAGCAGTATGACCAGTAAGAGACTATGGATATAAATAATGAAACACTGAGCCTGAAACTCTGTGTACAGGCTATTCACTTAAATGATAAAAAGCAATAACAGGCTTTATACGTAACAGCATCACGTCGGAGGCGGGGAAGCAACTACCTCCTTTTTGTTCAGCATTTAGTGACACCTGACATCTAGAACATTTACTCCCCATCTACAGGAAGGACAAAATGGAGAGATTAGAGAGGAGCCACTGAGATAACAAAAAGCTTGGAAATTAAAGACTGACTCACATCCCCTGAGCAAACATCTGCAGTGTTTGAAATGTCATTGCCTCCGGCTCCTCGGTGCTGTCCCTCTGCAGCAGGCTGCAGCCGACTGATGGTGGAAGGAAGTGGTGGAAGGAAGCGGATTCACCCTGGCCCCACGGCCACCGGTGGGCTCGAGGGGATCATGGGGAACCACCAAGGTGCTGCCATGTGCCCATGCTGCCCACTGGCAATGTGAGCCTTCCAGCTGCTGCAGCTGTGTGCTTGGTGGCTGCAAGCCATTACTGTTCATTTCCAGGCTCCTCACACATAGCCCCCATGGGATGGAAACAGTTAAGGGATAAGGGAAGGGGGGAACAACCAAGTGGCACAAGTCTTGAGAAGGAAGCTTAGAAAAGGATGCTGTGAAAAATAAGCCATAAGCACAAACCCTCAACCTTTCTCTAGGTACTGCGTGACCTTGCGCTGCAACAGGAAAAATGCTCTGTCCCATTGCTCTCCATCCACACTGCCCTTCCATGCTGCCATAAAGAAAGGGAAGACAGTCCCAAATTAAGTCTCGACAGGCTACTCAGCTGATCAAAGGCAGGCAAATAAGAAACCATAAAATCCCAGCCTGATTCACCCAGTGATTCATTACTTTAGGCAAAACACTTAAAGATGAGCCATAAAGGAAAATGGTTTTAAGTACATTTTTGTTTTGAGCCCATCCCAGTCAATTTAGGGAAGGCATTTGGCACAGGAATATAGTCACATTTTTTCCTAATTATGTTTCTCTGTTAAATCCTCTCAACAGTCTTGGTTTTGCTGAAGAGATCCTGGAACTCAGAGCCACAAATGAACGAACTCTTGTCTTCCAGAGAAAGTAGAAGTGCCATGAGTCGGGCATATGGGTTACAGCAATGGAACAGATGTGTATGGGCTAAATAGCAGCTCTGAAACCCTTATTTAAAACAAAGTTTGTACTACAGGAGGAAGAACCTTTTGCACAAGTTCATATGTAACTCACTTCTTCTGCCCCAGTTTACAAGTAATTTCTTTGCTTCAGTTTTCTTGACTGTAAGAGACTCAGAGTGATATTTACTTGATAAGCTTACACAAATATTATGAGAGTTAACTGCAAAAGGGCCCTGAAACACTTTCAACATGGAAAAGCTGCCATTTTTCCAAAGACTGGCTGCTCAACCTTCTTGGACTGGTCACAGCAATAAATACCTACCTGAAAGGAAACGGAATTCTGGCTTAGATTATTTAAATATTCCCACAAAATCTCTTCTGCCTTCACAATACTCACTTTTAAGGCAGTAGTTATTGTCAGACTATGTGCTAAGCATGTTTCTACAGGAATGGGCAAGCTGAGAAGAAGATGGGGGAGAGCACGAGAGGAAGGACAGTCCTAGCTCTGCTCAGTCACCACTCTTCCCCTGGTAACGAACAAACCCCAAAACCAGAAAACACCAAGGAACTGTAGAACAGAGACCCAGGATGAGCATCCTGCAAGCAGAGCAGCTGAGAGAACCCTGACTCCCCTTCCATCCTTTAAAACCCTTGTAAAAAGCAGGATTTGGATAGGAAGGACAATGGATCCTCCATGTTCTACAGCAGCCTGCGGAAAACATCGAACAACTTGGAGCATAATCCTCTGCACAGGAGTATGTGGAGCATGGTGCTCGCTGCCAACACGTCTCCTGTCCTCACCTGGGCCAGAGAGCCCCGTTGGTCCAACCACAGCACAAAGACTCTGAAGTGACAAGGCAGAGTATGCTGCAGCGTGCTTCAGTGAAGTGGTCTCCCTATGGTGCCTCTCAAAGAGAAAAAAAGCCTTCCAGAAAGGCAAAGTCAAATAGGAGTCATTCTGCACGACAGTGAAGCAGATCCCATTTTAGTCAGTGAATTTCCACCGAGCCGTGGCAGAAGGCCTCTGCTCACCAGCAATATGGCAATTCCCACATTTCAGGCAGGTTTTGCCAGTGGATTTCAGCACAAATTCAGGGGGGCTCCAACCATGGAAAGGGCAGTTATTGATGCTCTGTGTCCTTCAGCAACAGATGGAATTCCCTTTTATAGGCTTTTTAAACAAAGTTCGTGCTTTGATGGCAAGTGAAGTAAGTTAGATGGAAGGATGCTTTCTTTCTCCCCCTGTAGCTTTTTTTACTTCTGATTTAAGACACTTAGAATGTCTTTTTTTTTTTATTTCCTTTCCAGAATGTATTTTCTCTATCAACAGGGATCTTTTTCTAATACTTTACTTTTAGAACAGCTGCTATGCGTTATTTAGCCTTTCAAGCACATGTAAAACCCAAACAAACCTAACAGTGAATGAAGCACCACAAAGCACAGGTTACTACCATTAGGAACACAGGTTAGTAGAAATGCCTCAAAGCAGTCCATGAATAGCTGAAGGACATGCGCATGTAGACACAAGCAGACCGTAGCTTCGCCTTCCATAAAACCAGCTGCCAAACACGGGGTTTATTTGGGCCCTCCCAATGTCACGTCAACAAAGCACGGGTTTACACATGTCCTCCTCTCACAAGGACGTACATCCTTGCTACAGGTTGTACTACAAACTCTGCAACACAGCGGGCCAAGCCCCGGGCCACAGAGCAAGCTGGGAGCGTGTACACGTGTGCGAATGCCTCCCCAGGCACCCGAACCTGCGCCTTTTTGTTCTCGCCTTCGGCTCACCAAAACCGGGCGGCTCTGATGCTACTATGCGTTTACGGGCAAACGCACACACACGCAGACACACGAGACAGACAGACAGACACACACACACGCCTGCGCGCCGTGGGCCCAGCCTGCATTTTCTGAATACCGTAGAACTTCCCCTGCCCCTATAGCAACGCTCGATTGCAGCGGGAGGCAGGATCGTTTCCCAGCGAGCCAGGGCTGCGCCCGCGGCCGCACATCTTGCAGAGGCTGCGGCACACGCGGCCCGGCGCTTGCACCGCGTGTATTACTATCAGTGTACCTCGGCGCTGCCACCGAAAGCCCGCAGCTGCCGGGTGCCGTGGCTTGGGCTTTGCCGTTGGGTTTTCCAGCCGCAGCGCCTGGTTACGGCAGCATCCCGGCGGGCCCCCAAATCCGCCGCCGCGGCGAGATGCCGCATGGCCGGCGCCGTCCCACCGCCCGCTCCCGCCCCGCCGCAGCGCGGCCGCTGCGCTCCCCGTCTCGTCCCGTCCCCTCCCCGTCCCGCTGCGCGCATTTTTTAGGGTTGAAACTGGCCGCGCCCAGGGGCTCGGAAGCACGTTCTAGGGGGCCGGTGGACACACGGAACTGCGCACACGGCGGAGACAAAGCGCGGCCGCGGCGGGCTCGGTCGGCGCTGCGCGGCAGCGGCGCGCAGACAAAGGCTGCGCGGGGAACCGCGGCACCGTTTCCCCCCTCCGATTGCATCAGCTGTTTCTTACCTTCCTCTGGAGCAGCGGGGATCCCCCGAGGAATAATCCACCCTCTCGGGAGGAGTCGGCCGGAGAGCCCGGCAAATAATTTAAGTGATGAGAATAAAGTGAAATAAAAGGAAATACAGGTAAAAATTAAAGAAAAAGGGGCGAGGACGAGGGGGAATTAAACTGGCGAAACGGAGACAGCGAGGAGGATGCGGCTCCTCCTCCCGCCGCGGGTGTGTGCATGTGGAGGTGGGCAGGCGGGCAGGCGGGAGCATGCGGGGCGCGCCGCCGTGGCGGGGCCGCGGCTGGGGCTGAGGCCGCCCGGTGCCCCCCGGGGCGCAGAGCCCCACGGAGCCGCCTCCGTACGGGCGCCCGGACGGATGTGGCCCGGGCAGGGGGCCCCCGGCTCCCGTCCCTGCCCGGTTCAGCACCTTTTATTTTATCGCAACCAGGGGTTTACTCGTTTTACAACGAACCCACCATTTTTCTGTCTCTCTTTATGCCGCGGCTTGCCCATGGGAGAACCCATCCTGGCAGACGGGCCGCATTTTGGTGACGTTTCCCCAGAAATGGCCACGGAAAGTCTGGCATCATCATGTTACCCAATTTCCTGTTTCGTCATTCAGAATGTATATGCTGAAAATGCTGCCGTTCATGCGGGAGGTCACAGCGTTTCCAGCTGGGGCAAGACACGCTTTTCAGATACAAAAGGGAGTTTGATGCACAGGTGGTTTGCTGCAGCTTGTTGTTTCCATGCTCTAGAAAGCATTGTATGAGCTTATTGGCTTGGAAAAGACCCCAGCTTGTTAAGAGCAAACCAGAAGCAAGGTGGCATTGCAGCTGACAATTGGAGGCCGCAGTCCTTGGTTCCACCCCACACAATGCACAACTAGCATGGGGTATCACAAGAGTGAGGATGCTGAAGCGTGCAGGCCTGGGGGCAGTTTGCCTGGCCATCCACTGAGTGGGAATGGCTGCTGGGAAGCTGTCGTAGTAACTCTTGAGGTGTTTGTGCTAAGTTCCCCTACTGGGTCTCCTAGATGTCAGGCCAAAAAGGCAGATGACACAGGTGAAGAACTGTGGTTTTCAAATTACCATCTTTGCGTGCACAAGATTCCTATTTTGGTGCTTGTACTGTCTGTTCCTTTTCATTAGAGTTGTTCTTCTAATGTGAAGCACTGCGCAAGCAGTAATTTAATTACACCCTCACACCCTGCTAGGGTGAGAGCCATATCATCCCAGTATGAGAGTGAAGCCATGGGAAGAGCTAGCTGCCCAAGGTCATTAAGCCAAGGGCTGCTCTTTCAACACTTCCGCCTGTGAATAAACCTTGCAGGGCCCCACGCCAGTGGCATGTGCAGCCCCACAGACATTTCAGATGGACACAGGATGTGGGGTTGGATTCCAAGTCAGGAGCTTGACTCCCCATCCAGCCCCATGTGCAAGGCATCATGCCCCAAAGCAAAAAAACAGGTATTTGCAATTCACTTCTACTCAGTTAGACTTATCTGTGGGAGGGAACATGCGCTCAGTGACTTTGCTGATGATGCCAAGCTGTGTGGTACAGTCAACATGCTGTAGGGAAGGGATGTCATCCAGAGGGACTTGACACGCTTGTGAGGTGGGCCAATGCCAACCTTATGAAGTTCAGCAAGGCTACGTGCAAGGTCCTACACCTGGGTTGGACAATCCCAGGGGGTGCTGGTTGATGAGAAAATGAACATGAGCCAGCTTCAGTGTGCTCTCGCAGCCTGGAAAGCCAACCGCACCCTGGGCTGCATCAGAAGGGTATGGAACTCTGTCTGGGGACAGGTGAGCAGTTAATAGAGTGTTTGTGGGTCAGGGTTAAAGGGAAAACAGTGATGGGAGACATTACTGTGGCGATATGCTATAGACCACCTGATCAAGGAGAACCTGCGGATGAAGCACTCTATAGGCAGATAAGAAAAGCCTCACGCTCACAGGCCCTCGTTCTCATGGGTGACTTCAACCACCCTGATATCTGTTGGAATGACGGTACGGCCCGGCACAAGCAATCCAGGAGGTTCGTCGATTGTGTGGAAGACAACTTCCTTCTGCAAGTAACAGAGGAACCGACAAGGAGAGGTGCCATGCTTGACCCTGTGCTCACCAACAGGGAAGGGCTCATTGGAAATGTGGCGCTGCAGGGCAGCCTTGGATGCAGCGATCATGAGATGGTCGAATTTGAGATCCTCAGGACAGTGAGAAGAGCGTGCAGCAAGCTCACTGCCCTGGACTTCAAGAGAGCAGACTTTGGCCTCTTCAGGAACCTGCTTAGTAAGGTTCCATGGGATATAGCCCTAGAGGGCAGGGGGGCCCAAGACTCTTGGTTGGTCTTCAAGGATCACCTGCTACAAGCTCAGGAGTGTTGCATCCCAACTAGAAGGAAGTGCAGCAGGAGGGCCAGGAGACCTCCTTGGATGGATAAGGAGCTGCTGAGGAAAATTCAAATGAAAAAAGAGTCTTATAGAAAGTGGAAGCAAGGACAGGCGGCCTGGGAAGAGTACAGGGATGTTGTCCGGGAAGCTAGGGACCAGGTTAGGAAAGCTAAGGCCCAGTTAGAATTAAACTTGGCTAGGGATATTAAGGATAACAGGAAGGGATTCTACAGGTACATAGCAAATAAAAAACAGATTAGGGAGAACGTAGGCCCCCTCAGGAAGCTCTCGGGTGAACTAGCTACACAGGATTTGGAGAAGGCTGAGGTTCTGAATGACTTCTTTGCCTCGGTCTTCACTGGCAAAGGCTCTGACCGCACCACCCAAGTCTTGGAAGGCAGATGCAGGGACTGTGAGAATGAAGACCTTGGGCCCACTGTAGGAGAGGATTTGGTTCGAGACCATCTTAAAAATCTGAATGTGCACAAGTCCATGGGTCCTGATGAAATCCATCCGCGGGTCCTGAAGGAGCTGGCAAATGAAGTTGCTAAGCCGCTGGCCATCATATTTGAAAAATCATGGCAGTCAGGTGAAGTTCCCGATGACTGGAAAAAGGGAAATATAACCCCCATTTTCAAGAAGGGGAAAATGGATGACCCGGGGAATTACAGACCAGTCAGTCTCACCTCTGTGCCTGGCAAAATCTTGGAGCAGATTCTCCTGGAAGGCATGCTAAGGCACATGAAAAACAACAAGGTGCTTGGTGACAGCCAGCATGGCTTCACTAAGGGGAAATCCTGCCTGACCAATTTGGTGGCCTTCTATGATGGGGCTACAGAACTGATGGACAGGGGTAGAGCAGTTGATGTCATCTACCTGGACTTGTGTAAAGCGTTCGACACTGTCCCACACGACATCCTTGTCTCTAAATTGGAGAGACATCAATTTGATGGATGGACCACTCGGTGGATAAAGAACTGGCTGGATGGCCGCACACAAAGAGTTGTGGTCAATGGCTCAATGTCCGGCTGGAGACCAGTAACGAGTGGTGTCCCTCAGGGATCGGTGTTGGGACCGGTCTTGTTCAACATCTTCGTCGCTGACATGGACAGTGGGATTGAGTGCGCCCTCAGCAAGTTTGCCGATGACACCAAGCTGTGTGGTTCGGTTGATACGCTGGAGGGAAGGAATGCCATCCAGAGGGACCTTGACACGCTTGTGAGGTGGGCTGATGCCAACCTCATGAAGTTTAACCATACCAAGTGCAAGGTCCTACACCTGGGTCGGAGCAATCCCAGGCACAGCTACAGGTTGGGCAGAGAAGAGATTCAGAGCAGCCCTGTGGAGATGGAATTGGGGGTGCTGGTCAATGAGAAAATGAACATGAGCCGGCTTCATTGTGCACTTGCAGCCCAGAAAGCCAACCGTATCCTGGGCTGCAACAAGAGGAGTGTGACCAGCAGGTTGAAGGAGGTGATCCTGCCCCTTTACTCTGCTATCGTGAGACCTCACCTGGAGTATTGTGTGCAGTTCTGGTGTCCTCAACATAAAAAGGACATGGATCTGTTGGAACAAGTCCAGAGGAGGGCCACAAGGATGATCAGGGGCTGGAGAACCTTCTGTATGAAGATAGATAGGCTGAGAAAGTTGGGGCTGTTGAGCCTGGAGAAGAGAAGGCTGCGTGGAGACCTCATAGCAGCCTTCCAGTGTCTGAAGGGGGCCTATAGGGATGCTGGGGAGGGACTCTTCATTAGGGACTGTAGTGACAGGACAAGGGGTAATGGGTTAAAACTTAAACAGGGGAAGTTTAGATTGCATATAAGGAGGAAATTATTTCCTGTTAGGGTGGTGAGGCACTGGTATGGGTTGCCCAGGCAAGCTGTGAATGCTCCATCCCTGGCAGTGCTCAAGGCCAGGTTGGACAGAGCCTTGGGTGACATGGTTTAGTGTGAGGTGTCCCTGCCCATGGCAGGGGATTGGAACTTGATGATCTTAAGGTCCTTTCCAACCCTAACTATTCTATGATTCTATGATTTGTCTTAAACTATCAACCTTCCCTGAAATTACTAAATAAGGTGTGCTATGTAGTGCATGTGGTCAGATGATACTGTTGTAGGAAATAACAAGAAACTATTTTGTCTCTTTAAGACAAAACATGTCAGGCTGACTGACAGTTAATGGTCATGGATTCAACACATTCTGTTACCACCATTCATTTTACCTCTGCAAAGACAGGCCTTTCCTACTGTACAGAGAATTTGATTTTGAACTTGTCATGCACATTCTTAAAAGTAAGGTAATTATTTTTATAGAATTTGGTGTAAAAAAATAAATAAATTAGCATATGTTAACACAGTTCCACAAAAAGAATAGCACCTCTCGGAAATATTTTAGTTTGCATTTTCAGTGTTTCAGCTTTCTCCACTCTCCGTCTCAGTATCTGTCTGATTTTTTAGCACAGTTGGTTCTGTTTGCCGTGTTATGCTGTGAAACCTTTAATGCTTGTGGCCAGCATCTTCTAGTTTTTATGATTTCTCATAAGTTTACCATATTTACTCCTCCTAGGCCTTACTCTTTATCCTTTTCACTTACAATCCTATTCCTTTATCTAGTTTCAGATATAACAAAGATTCAGGAATTTGCTTTTGCATTCAGATCCATCAATTTTCTTCCTCTTGTCTATCTAGAACTGGCAAGTTCTCTTCTTGGATGCCTTTCAATGTAGTTTTATCTAGTCAAAATGGATCCTCTT